GGGTGGAGGTTCTATCCCGGTATCTATCTCGGTATCTATTTCGGTATCTATTTCGGTGTCTGTTGGAGGGGCGCCAGGGACGTCCATCATCTCCGCCTCCAAATCGCGGCCGTCTGATGACGGGACATCTCGGCCGGTTAATGATATTGTTTTGGATTCCTGTGACAGCACAATGCCACCGCTCCTGTGTTCTATGTGCTCGCGGGCACGATCCGGACTCACACGCTGTGGCTTGTTGGAAGTATGCATTGGAGGATATGGAGGTGGTAGGGATTGGGCAACAGTGCGCCCCGCCGGCATGTGTCCCTTATCGGTGGTACCGTTCATCTCCACCCCAAGATATCTAATCTAAGATTAAGGGTGGAGACCTAATGCGAAGGTTCGGTGGATGGGCTTTAACTTCGAGACTTGGAGTGGAGATTATGGACTTTGTGAGTATCCTCAAGCAGCAAGCGGAGATTAGCGCGGAAGGGGGATCACGAGTATATAACCCTCTGGGGGTCCTGCCCCGCTCTGGCTTAGAAAACCCCCCAACGCTCAACCCTCCGCATCACACCACATCCGAAGGGAAAGGGTTGGGGTGAGCTGTCATGATGAGAGGCAACTCGGTGGAGGACGTTTGTGAACACGACTGGTGTATTATTCCGCGAATAGCGGGGGCCCAGGGTCGAGCCCTGGTCCACTGCTGTTGTTCGCCTCTTGGTGGTTGGGGATACAGTAAGAACATCAGGCTCAAATGCCAACAAATACCCAAGATGCCATAAACTCTCGGTAAATTCACTACGGTACCGTATCGGTGATCGGGGGCTTGGTACGCTAGCCGGGGGTGTGCGCGATAAAAGTTACAACAACTAAGCCACAAGAGGCTTAGTTGAATACCTGTTAATGAGATCTACTCGCCCAAGCTACGCCCTGTCTGGAAAGAACTATCCACCCGACAAATGCTAAGCCCGGTCAGGCATAATCACGCATTCCCAATCACAATCGGAAAAACAAAAAGAAGAAACGGAGAGAAATCGATCGCCTAGATAAGGCAGGTGGCTGTTATCCTTATCGGCTGCGCCCATGCATCCCGCCTGTAGGGGCTAGGGTTATTGGAGAGCTGCAGCAGTCGCTACCTGGTAACGTGTCCCAGAGCAAGATCTATATAAACCACGCAAGCTCTGGCAACCTTTTTTTCCATCACTTCAACCACTAGAGCGATTCCACCTCACCATGGCTACACAAATCCTCGCACAAATCCACAAGGCGTTTGAAACTCGCACCTGCGAGTTTCTTACGTTCTCAGGGCTTCTCTCTCAGAAAGATCCCATTGCCCTTGGCTTGAGGTGAGTACAAGTGCCAGAGATCAAGTTTTCGTACAGAACAGGGTTTATTTTGCGGGTTAACCTAAATTAACTGTTTGGATACTTTATCCCTATGCCTTGTATATGCCCAGTATGAGGAAGAATATACTAACTATTAATAGAATTCACTTTATTGCCCCCGATGGGTACCTTCGTATTGTCATGGCGAGTCACCTGCATGAAACTGCGGTTGACTGGATGAGAATTGAGTTTGGCTTGTAGATCGGCTACGGCCTCCTTACGCCAAACACTTCCATCTTGATATCCGATACCTTAAGTAGTATGTCCCTTTGCTCTGCCGTATAGAACCCCGTAGTCTATACTAATAATTGAATAGCATATGATACCTTTGTTGGTACCTTTGCAAACCCAAAAAAGACACCGGACCTTTGCTATACCGTAAGAACTCGAATAATTGAACCTCGAGCTAAGACGTCTGTGTTGCCTCTGCTGGTATGGCGCAGTGTTTTTTACTTTTTCTTTTTCTCTTGAGCAGGGGCTCGGGGAGTCGGTTTTCGCTGTGTTCCCCGCCCCCTATCCAAGAGGGGGAATTCTAAACGTCCTAGCGTGAGGTTCAATTATTCGAGTTCTTACGGTAGCCCCCGCGTTAACGGAGTTAAAACCGAGTTTCCAACTGTCGTCCTGGAAGCGGGGTGGAGCGAGTCATAGGCCCAGTTAGAACATGACTGCCAATTGTGGTTCGAAGAGTCTGCTGGGGCTGTGAAGGTCGTTCTGTTGTTTAAATTATTCGAGCTGAATATATTCAATGAAATTAAGGCCACTCTAAACGTCTGCCGGGTTGTGGAGGGCGCAATGGTTCCGGATACATTCAGTGTTCCCAACGGGCCAGGTAGGCCAGGCTGAACCGAAGCCGGGCCCGGCCTGCCACAACTATGGGGGATTTAACCCTGCCGGAGCCTGGGCCTGGCCTGGCTGGGTCCAGCTATAGGCCGTATAGGCTGGGCACCTGCCACCTGATAGGCTGGCCCAGCCTATGAATACGGGCCTACAACCCCCTCAGATCCTTGGTTTCCGTTCGGCTCATCTCCCATTCCACTAAACTAGTCCGAGTTACTCCAGCGAGAACTGTAAGTTACATAGTCCCTGTGCAAATTCCATGCACTGGTGTTAACAGAACAGAACGAGTATCAGTAAGATCACTAATAGTATTAGGCACTGATCCTACATGCAGGTAGTGATATGGATTTGCTCGTGGTTGATGAAAACCCCTGAGGTCTAATAGGACTTGGCCAACCATAGCGGGAACATTCACTGATGGATTCCTGCCAAAGAAACTGAATCAGAAGGAAGGATTGTGAGATAGGACTGCCAGTGCCTTGGAGAATCTGGAGGTAGATTTCCTGGACTTCTTTGAACTGGTTGTGGATCGGTAATCGCATAGTTATCATACTTCAACTAACAACTAAGGATAGAGATAAAATAATAAACCACAATCAAAGTTGTAAGGAATCAAGCTACTCTTAAAACAATCAGCTCTAAAAAATCCCATTTGCAGGCCTATAGGTTCCTACCAGGCCTGATAGGCTTCCCCAGGCTGGTTGAGTTTGGCCTATATCCACCTAGGCTCATCATCAGAGCGGCCTGCCTTGGCCCAGCCTACGGCCTATAGGCCGGCCTATCACTGGCCTAGCCCATTGGGAACACTGGATACGTTGGCATGCTCTTCCCTGCCCTACCATATCTTTATCTCTCTTACATCCTACTAATCAATCCCCTCACCCTGCAGGAAATCTTCCCCCCCCCCCCTCCTCCGAGCCTATTCACAATCCGTGTATCATTGTAGAAGAGCTTTTTGGAGACCGATCTCCCACTAGCCTAAATCCCCAGACTCTTTTTCCGTTGTCTTTGACACGACTTTGCTATTTAGTTGGACAAGAGATCCGTAAACAGAGACATCTCCCTATGGCCAACTGAGTACACCTAAACTCATCTCCTACCCTTTGGCCTTGTTTTTATCTGTTCGTTGCTTGTTGGTCTGATGGATAGCATGGGTTTCATCTCTTCTCTCGATCCCTTTGTATCCCAGTTGAATTCATAATCTTACTCCTATCGTAACTGGTCACACTTCCACAACGCTCGTGACGAGAGAATCTGCTGTCACCGTCGTCCTCATCCCAGTCTTTATTAATGAGGGCATATTTGTCGTTTGAGCTAAAGGCATCCTTGGTGGTTTCCTCAATGTCATGTCCTGCCAGGCTAGGTCTTCAAACGGGGACGCTGTAGCCCGCAATCGCAGTAGTTCCAGGCCAGAATAGCCTGTACTAGGTTGATAAGGAAAAAATGAAACTGGGGAATGAATGGCATGTAGGGTGAGAGAGGGGGGTGTGTGTATACCACAGAATCACACCGAGTCCGACGGCTACTAAATCTACTACGAGTGCTTTCCACTTTTGGTCCCTTACTCGTAGTGGTCGAAGTGTCCTGTACCTGCACTGTAATTTAGTTTGATGATCTCAGCTCTGTGTTTTGTATCGCTCATCATCCGTTACCGGACATCCCACTAACGCATAAACGGAGGAGCAAATTGGTCGTCTGCCATCAGATAGGGCAGTCATTGTAGGCTAACAGATGCTGAGCTTTTAGGTCAACAGTATCACCCACGACTGTGTTCTGGTGAGGAGCATGTAGGTCCACATTGCCAGAGATATATAGTCGCTCAGTGGCATGAGGAAAGAATGGAACTGAGGAATGAATGGCGTGCAGGGTGACGGGGGAGGGAGGTGTATACTACAGAATCGCACCGAGTCCAAAGGCTGCTCGGTCCATCTTACATGCTTCGGGGCTCCCACCGGCTCAATGCACATCCCCCCCCTCTTGACCTCACACCTTTCGTCCTTCTCCTCCCTCACCACCAGAGATCCCACCGTTAGTGTAGCCAGCGACAGAAGGCCGCGAACCAGAGAATCCACTTCCAGTGAATTTCCCCTCGGGCGTAAGAAACGAGGAAACAAATATTAACCCCAATAACCCAGTACGGGTGCGCAAACATTTTTGTCCTCTGAAACCAGGGTCACATGTACCAGCGCCGGAACTGCAAACTAACACTACCACAGGTAAACGTTATCGTCAGTTTTCACGACAGTTTGCAGGAGTGAAGGTGGGTAGTAGGTGGACGGGTAGAAGCAGAGGACGGAAAAAACTCACCATTGCGAACATGTATTTTATCGCACTACTTGCTGGACCCTTCGCCGACATGCTTGTTATAACCACCCCCCATTACCACCACGCTCCATAACGCCTGAGTGATGTGTAGAGAAAGCTGGCCTTCACGAGAATAACTGTATTCACCATGATGCCCGAGTATTATTTCGTTCCCCGAACGCTTTGGCTCTGCGACCACCACCACGTTACAGTCCAAACCGCACCTGCATTTATGCTGATTCAGGACTCTCTTGTCGTGAGGCCCTGGAGACCCTGACCCGAGAGTTGGAGTGGTTCGCGGCGGCGACATTGGTCGAGGTGGAGGCGGTCGTATAGGGAGTTAATGCTGGCCGGATCTGGCGCCTTTCTAGGGATAGCAAATACAGGGGGTGTCGGTTGTGGTAGTTGTATCTAACGTGGTAGGATGGCGGTGCGGATCTTGGCATTCGTCGGGTGAGTATTTAACCACTATTCTCCACCACCAAGCCCTCCTGAGCCGTCACCCCACAATCCCTCTTCCAAAAATATATATATATATTATATAAAAATCATACTGCTGCTTTAATACTCTAGCCACCACCAGTGGAAGATTCCATCTCAACCTCAACCAAAAGAGTATGACAAAAACTCTCCTCGCTGACCCTCCCCTCCCGGACTTAACCTTCACCCCCCTCTCCCCGACCTCAGAGCACTTCCTACGGGCGTACACCCTCCTAACAGACTCAGTCGCCCAACTCCGCTCAACCCTAACCCTCTCACTCCTGTACTCGCAACCGCACCTGACGCTGCCACCCACGCTTCTGACGGCAGTCTACCTCCTGCGCACGCAGGAGCACCTCAGCATGACGGTAATCCTCTTCGCCGGGTATGTGATTGCCGTGCTATCGGCCTGCGGGTACCTGAGCTATGGATACATCGAACGGGCAGAATGGATGGGGAGTCAGAGTGGGCTGGCGGCTACGTTCGGTGGAGACAGGAAAAGGGAGGTCGTGGGCGCGCTCTGGGGAGAGGAGATCATTGGAGTTGTGATTTTTGAGAGGGAGGGTGGCGATGAGGTTGGGGTGATCTATGGGTGGACGGTTAGGTTGAGGTATAGGGGGAAGGGAGTTGGTAGGGGGTTGTTGGAGAAGGTTGCGGAGGTTTGTGGGGGAAGGGTGAGGTTTGCGGAGGATCATGTTCGTATGTTTCCCCCATCTTATCCTGTTTCCGTCTCTCGCCAGCGGGCGAGTATTAACTGAGAACCATAGACTCTTACAGACTCCCAAGAATACCGGCAATGTTTAACAAAGTCTTTGACAAACGAGAAATCAGAGCACAAAAAATGCTGGAGGATGTTTTGAAATCACAGTAGGGACGTTTGCCGCGTGCATATGTGTAACATTTTTCACTTAATTGTACCATTTGATACCCCTCATGTATTCCCCCACCCAACCTAAACCTGACTGCTGTGTATGAATTATGGTATCTCAAGTACCCCGTATGCCCATCTAGCCATGCCTCGTTTACCATTACACTATTGCGGTACAGGAAAAGGCGGAAGAAGAGGAAGAAAAAAAAGACACCACATTGCCCAAATTACCTCAAAAAAGGTACCTTCATGATATGATATGCAAACCAGGAATTCAGAATCCGTATGAAAACTAGATACAAAAGAAGCGAAGACACAAAGTAGTTAGTATTGGATGGACGTGGCGGCCACGGAGTGCATATTTCCGATATCCATACCGATGCACTGAGATAGCTAAGATTGATCCATGGGATCTTCATCCTTCGGCTGATTCTCTTTACTCCAGGTGACAAATTGGTCGAAAAGAGATGGCCCTAAAAGTGCATAAGTCAGATTTCAATTACAAAATAAAAGAGGGAGAACACCTACAAACGCTGGTTTCTATGGCGTACCCGTTGAAATCGATGTCTACCTGTTCGTTGAAAGGGATAAACTGCCGATATTGATCCTTTGTAATCACCTTTGTGGGTGGCGGAGTCGAGCCGAGAAATTCTATGAAGGCGTGCTTGTGGGGAAACTTTTCCCAAATTATAGGATCCTTCGCCTTCAAAGTGTTATTTGATTCAGCTGGAGGAGTCCACTTGGTACTGTAGCTTCTTTCGTCGAGAAGGACCGTAAACATTGCACATGCCATGTCGAGTGGTAAATACTTTGCATCCTCGGCCTTGAAGAACTCGTAGCAAAACCAGTAGAATTTTTGAAACCGATCGCTACTAGGTGCTACATCCCGCAGAAGGGTCGGAAGTTTGCGTCTGAGAGAGTCATTGGAGTCGATACTAATGGAGCACCGTTAGCATGGTTCATATCCAGTGAACCTTCAAGGACAACTCGCGCTAAAGCCTTCATCCCCTCTTTGAACTCTTTAAGCCCAATGCCCCCCCCTTTCGCTTCACACCAATAGGCAATCACCCAGAAGGCGATACCTTCGGGGGAGACACCGAGGGATTCCATCCATGGGACCGAGTCCGTTATCATTATCTCGTTAGTATCGCCTGGGAAGTGATCAGCCTCTGAATTCAAGTGCTAATAATGACCTGAAGATACACACCTTTGAGCCCATCGAACCAACGGGTAAGGATAGTATCGGGGGAAGGAGCACGGTTCTACAAGAACTGTAATCAATAATAGAATTCACCCGCTTCCCGGAACAATAACCAGAGCAAATAACATGGCAAGAGAAAAACAGAATGGAAGCTCACAGGCTTGGTCTTCTTTGCAGATTTCTTTGCCGACTTTGGAGCAGGCGGTTCCTGTTGCCTGCGCTTCTTGTCTCTGCTCTGCGAGTTCCCCATTGTGACACCGTCTGGTTTTGATTCTGCTTCCGAGTCTCCAGAGGAGACAGGGTCGATCACACCTTGTTTCCTCTTTCTGGGGCCGGTGGCGTTCCTATCGGTGGGTGCAGACATGGGGGCTGGTGTTGGCTTGGGAGGGGAGGCTGGTGTGTTCGATTGAGCGCCAGTGGTCCTTTGGTCAGTTTTCTTCGTTGAGGACCTGGTTACCCTTGAAGACGGCTGTACGGTAGAGCGCTTCTTAGGAGGCATAGTCGCTAGGTTTTATAAATACCTTCGCTTAGTCTTGCCCCTTTACTTGGGCAGTCGTAAACAGCTCCCGTGAAAGCAGGTGACTTGTTTACCACTGGAGTAGTTGTTTGCAGGTGGCGGAAGGTCTGACAGATGACAGATCTATGCGCCTATCTGTTTGTCCGGGAGAGACGAGGCGAGGTGAGGGGAGGAGGGGAGGAGGGGAGGAGGGGAGAGGTGAGGTGAGGTGAGGAAAAGGAGAGGTGGGTGCCGTTGAAAGGAATCGAATGGTCGCTTAGTAGAAGAGAAAAAGAAACCTAAAGCCCTCGTAGAAAGCTTAGGACACGAGGAGGAGGTTCTCAGAAGCCAAAGTTGAAATGCCAAGTCTCGCGGAGAGAAAATATTGGACGCGCTACTGCAAAACCTTACCGGTGCTCGAGTATGGTACCGGTATAGGGCACGGCGGCAGATCTACAGTGACATAATGAACCTGCGTTAAGTTTTTCCTGCCCATGTCCCGAAGTCAATACCGTATCTCCCCCAGATTCTTCATTCCCGAACACCGCACGAATTCCGATATCCCGCCTGAGGTTATGCAGGAACAGCAAATTTCGATCACCCTGTCTCGAACTGAAAACCCGCGTCCAGAGTATTCAATGAGGCGAAATGGGTTGGGGGTTGGGGTCGAACCCTACACTTGGGCCCTGAACCCTAAACCCGGCCGTTGCGACCCTGAGCACTAGCCACACCTTTCACCCCACATCCCTCCCATTCCTATCCTGTGTCAGAAGTGCAATAATAATAACCAAACACCAGAGCCTCCTCCTCCGCCAAACAAAACAAAAAAAAAATCAACCATGTCTCGAGCAGTCGCGCAAAAGAACCAAATCGTCAAACTCATCGTAGGCGCGGGACAAGCGAGCCCTTCACCGCCGGTTGGTCCGGCATTGGGTAGTAGGGGAGTTAAGTCTATGGACTTTTGCAAAGTGGGCACTATACTACTCCACAATCCCCTGGTCTAAGCTTTCCCTAACTCGATTATTTAGGAGTTCAATGCCCGTACAGCACACATAACACTCGTACACACGCCCAACACCCCCCTCCCCCCTTTTTTACCCTCCGCATTCACAGAGCAACTGACTCTCTAACCCCTAGGGCACGCCAACCCCAGTACGCATAACCGTCCGCCCGGACCGCACCTTCACTTTCGAAGTCCGTACTCCCCCAACCTCCTGGCTGCTCAAGAAAGCTGCGGCCGTGCCACTCGATAAGAAGGGCCATATGAAGGGTGCCAGCAATCCCGGGAAGGAATGGGTTGGCGAGGTCAGTTTGAAGCATGTTTACGAGATCGCGCAGATCAAGCATACTGTGAGCGCACATCCTATGTAACGGAGAAGACGTTAGAAGGAATGAAGGAAGGAAGGGCTGACGGGGGGGTATCTTTAGGAGGTTCGATTGTCCGGATTAAGCTTGAAGGCAATTGCCGGCAGTGTGATTTCTCAGGCCAAGACAATCGGGATTAAGGTCACTATATGACAATGGTGACCATTTGTCCGGTGAGGAGAGGAGAGGAGGGATGTATGGTATGATATGATATGCTGTGGTGTACAAAAGAAAAAAAATTTGGCTTAGGTCGGCTGGGATACTCTAGATAGACTCTACACGGTCGTTTAGTTACTGTACTTATTTACAACAGAATTTCGACCAGACACGTAAATATCGAATACCTGCGCCAATCGCCGTCGTCCTCAAGCATCCAATTTAGTTGCTGCGGTAGGATAAAGCCAACCTCACCCAATCTCAACCTCCCACCAACCCATACAAGTACAGTACACCAATCATCAACCCCCCAACCTACCACAAAACCCCTTCCGCGAAACGACAAGAACCATCAATTGATACCTCCACTAAACCATGCCAATCTGGAAGTAATGCCCCCCTCATTCACCCATCTTCACGCAACTAAACAAAACTAGATTCTACAAATCCCTGCCTACGAAGACCCGCCTCATCATCGGCGGCGGGGTGATCCTATACGCCGGTGTGGGCCTCCTCCTGACGGACGTGGCCGAGGAGAAATTCGACCTTGTGCCCAGCGAGGGAGACAAGCAGCGGCTGAAGGAGTTAGTGCCGAAGGTTAGGGTTGTTGATCGGGAGGGTTGATGGAAATAGTAAATATAATCAAAATTTAATTGTTTCGTAACATCGTACTTTCTGGGTGGTTGTTTTTCCCTCGCCATTTGTTTGCGCTTTGGAGGAGTGGGTGATGTACAGTACCGTAATGTTACTGTGCCAGTACGCCGGCGAGCCGGGGGGGGGGGGGGGGGCTGTGACTGTGATTGATTGATTTCATTTTCACTTTCGTATGCTCTGCGACGTTACTAATTGTAGAGTATCGCACGAGAATACCACAAGAAGGGAACCGGTAATGCGAAGTGGTGTAAACATCCAGTTGTAGTATTACAGAGCGGAGATAGTTTTTCTTAATACAGACGTACCTTCCGCCCAATGGCTTTGAGAAGGAGTATGGTAGAAATTTTAGAAGACAAAAGAAAACTGACCAGGAGGGAGTGAAGAGGAAGGGGAAATTTTTTGAGCAACCGACCATGAAAGCGATGAGAGTAACAAGATAAGGGAATAAAGGAAAAAAGAAAATACAAGAAGGTGAGCGAAAAGTTCGGATGAACTTAAGACATGTGGAAGAAAAAAAAAGTGAAGCACAGATCTAGTTTCAGGACAAAATAAACATCACTCAAGTTTTTTGTGAAACCCCCCCCCCCGGGAAAAACGCGAATCAACACCCTTCCGGAATCTCCATTATACCCCGTGATTTTTAACTTTTGTATTCCATAATTATCGAATTCCGAATACCACATCGTTCATCACCTTACTCTTTCTTCTCGCCGCCCTCGGGGCCAGACGGGAAATCAGGGCCAGGCGAGGAATCGGAGCCAGACGAGGAATCAGGGCCCTGGGATTCGTTAGATGCTTCATTGCGGGCACGATGCATCTTGTCAAACAGAGTCAAGGATGCGGTCTGAAGAGCATCAGTTTGTTCTTTCAAATGATCAGCCGTGATTGAACTGTCTCCCGCCTGAACCTTAGTAACGGTTGTACGGAGGGTCATGATTTTCTCCCGGATGGCATCGGCCTCAGTTTTGTCAAGTTTCTTCTCGTATTCCTTCAGAGCGGCCTCAGTATCACTAACAACAGAGTCAGCACGGTTGGCATTCTCAATGGTGCTCCTGCGCTCTTTGTCGGCCTCCTGGTACTTCTCGGCATCATCTATCATGGAACTGATCTCAGATTTACTGAGACCGGATCCAGAGGCAATAGTGATACCCTGGTCCTTGCCGGTGGCCTTGTCATGGGCAGAAACATGGACAATGGAATCGGCATCAATGTCGAAGGTGACCTCGATCTGAGGAACACCACGGTGGGCCGGAGGAATGCCAACAAGTTGGAAGTTACCAAGGAGCTTGTTATCACGAACGAGCTCACGCTCACCCTGGTAGACTTTGATCTCGACGGCCGTCTGGAAATCGGCAGCAGTGGAGAAAACTAAGATAATATTAGTAAAATAATAGTAATAAGAAGTGACCTTTTCTTACCCTGGCTCTTCTTGGTGGGGATGGTGGTGTTGCGGTTGATCAAACGCGTGAAGACACCACCGAGAGTCTCAATACCGAGAGACAAGGGAGTAACATCGAGTAGAAGAACGTCCATAACCTCACCAGAAAGAACAGCACCCTGAATGGCAGCGCCAATGGATACAGCTTCATCCGGATTAACAGCCTTTGCAGGGTCACGCCCGAAGATGCTCTTAACGGTCTCAGCAACCTTTGGCATACGGGTCATGCCACCAACGAGGATGACTTCTTGGATATCGGTCGATTTAAGTGCGGCATCCTTTATGGCTTTGCGGCAAGGATCAATAGTCCTATCAACCAAAGGTTTGACGAGGGACTCGAATTGCGCCCTCGTCATTTTCGTATTAATGTGCTTAGGCCCAGAAGCATCAGCAGTAATGAAAGGAAGGTTGACATCGGTCTGAAGAGCGGAAGAAAGCTCCATCTTAGCCTTCTCGGCAGCCTCACGAATCCTCTGAATAGCCATACGATCGCTAGAGAGATCGATACCGGTTTGTCCCTTAAAGTGCGAGACCAAGTGACGGACAAGCGCAATATCAAAGTCCTCACCGCCAAGATGGGTATCGCCATTGGTGGACTTGACCTCAAAGACTCCCTTCTGGATCTCCAGGATGGAGATATCGAAAGTACCACCGCCAAGATCGAAGACAGCGACGACACGATCCTGGTCCTTGTCAAGACCATAGGCCAGAGCGGCGGCGGTGGGCTCGTTGACAACACGCAAGACATTCAAACCAGCAATCTGTCCAGCGTCCTTGGTGGCCTGACGTTGGGAATCGTTGAAGTAGGCGGGGACCGTTACGACAGCGTTCCTGATGGGCTTGCTAAGATATGCCTCGGCAGTCTCCTTCATCTTTTGCAAAACGAAGCCCCCAACCTGGGAAGGAGAATACTTCTGACCACGGGCCTGAACCCAGGCATCACCATTGGTGTGCTGAACAATCTTGAATGGAACCTGAGAAATATCCTTCTGAACCTCGGGGTCGGTGAACTTTCTTCCGATCAATCGCTTTGTGGCGAAGAGGGTGTTTTCAGGATTAACCACGGCCTGGCGTTTGGCGGCAATACCGACCAATCGCTCACCATCCGCAGTGAAGGCAACGGTTGAGGGGGTTGTTCGTGCACCTGGAATACAACTCGGTCAATTCACCACGCAACGAATATTCTTCTGGGCATCGGGAACACACCCTCAGCGTTCTCAATTACCCTAGGAGTTTTCCCCTCCATCAGAGCTACAGCAGAATTTGTCGTGCCTGATATTAGGGCATGATTAGCAAACAATTTCCCAATCCCCGGGTACATTGGAGCGGAACTGCGGATACAAACATACCCAAATCTATACCGATAACCTGCCCCTGAACTTTTCCCTCCGGAGCTGAGGAATTAAACCTTGCAAATGCGGATATGGGTGGCCTGACGGCATTCCGCAGAAGTGTAGACCTCAATGCAGCGGTTGTTCGGGGTATCTATATGAGAAAAACAAGAACATCAGTTTCAAACCTTCATACGCCTTGCCGTCGGGAGAAAAAGAAAAAAAATTTGCGGACTGGCGGAACGGAGAAAAAAACTTACTGCGCGGACGACTCTTGGAAGAACCATGCTGAAAGAAAAGGAAATGCAATTAAATCCTATTCAGGAAGAGCAAAGCCGAATGCTACTATAAGTGTAAAGAGAGCGAAGGGTGGGAGGAGGTTGTTATTGTGATTTGTTGAGGTGGGGAGGAGGTGAGATGAGGATGAGGAGGAGTCTGAAAGAGATGGAGGGGCAGAAGTGACGAGGTCCTTATGTGTACAGCACTTGTCGGTTACGGGAAAAAAAATTCACCCAAAAGTTTGCATTGGCCGAGTCCCAATTCGGAACAGAGGAAGAACCCTCTAGAACTTAGGGTACCGCCACTCCCTACCGCCATCTGGCATTCAGCAGAAGGAAAACAAAAAAAATCCAGTGCTGATCCGGTCACGGGGCGCTCCCCAAACTCCGATAACCTTCTCATCACTAACGCCATCATGAAAAATCATCCACCCTGGCTATCACACTAGTGCCAAGCACGGATGCAGACTTATCATAAATCGAATACGACTATCTAAGCAAGGGAATAGAGGAGATTGATAATTATAACCAGTGTACTCGAGTATGGAAAACTATGAGAAAATGCTCTATTCACCTGGACCATCCATCAGATACAAGAGTACACAAATCAAAAATGGCGATGCTCGTAGGAAGGAGAATGAATGAGAAATAGAATGTATAATGCTGAATACGAGTAGAAATCACCGGTGCCGAAAAAGAAAAGAAAAAAAAAGAGTCCAGTCTTTACCAAAAAAGAAAAGTTGTAGGGAGCGGGAGAGAAAGACCGGGGGGCGGCAGACAGAAGATTTACAAGTCGAAGGGAGGAAGCATTGCTCCTCTTTTGTTTAGAGTCATATCAAGAATTACCGGTAATACATTCATGGCTTAACATCTCAGCCTGATGCCCATGCCATTATCCTTTTTCCCTGCGCTCGCCATCCGCTCACTTTGTACTCTTTCGCGTACTAGCATTACTCCCGCCGGACTGTCCCTCTAGTACATGTGTATGCCCCACCCCTTTGATGACCTTTCCAGCTTCCTCCTGCTGACAATACGATATGCTTTGAATCCACTCATCGTTCCAGATCTCCTCCAGTGTGGCTCGCTTTTTGGGACTCAAGTCGAGCATGCGGCTAATTATGTGACGAGACTCTCGTGGCAACAGTCTTAGCAAACGGTGAGGGCCCTTAATATGCTGGCCAGATCCCTGGACGGTAGAAGGAGCCGGGTTGGAAACCGTTCCTTCTAAAGCTTTCGAGGACTCCCTAGAGGCTGTTTGATTAATAGCGGTAGAAGGGCGGCTATTCTGATGATTTCGAGAGGTCGGCAGTGGGGCCGGGGTGTTGGAGCCGCTGGGGGTCTCCGGGGGCATCGAGAACATTTTGAATGAGTTATCAGACTGCCGGGGGGCTTTCCAAGGGAATCTTCGGAGAGTCATGCAGCAGTATATAATAGCGAGAGACCAGACATCGGCGGGTTGAGGATCGTATTTCAGGTCATTGCATACCTCTGGTGCAAGATATGGATCCGATCCGACGATCCCTAGAGGCGGATTAGAAAAGGCAATTTAAGAATTCGCACGGGGCATTACCATGGGCTTCGACGATATCATTCTCAAAGGGATATCTGAAAACACTGGCACTCCCGAAGTCAATGATCTTTAAAATACCATTCTCGTTCATCACCACATTGTCCAGCTTCATGTCCCTGTGGGCGAGCCCCATTCTGTGAAGATAGGTGAGCCCACTTAGGATTTGAAGGAAGCAACACGCCACCTCCTCCCGAGACATCTTGCCCGTCATAACGGTTGCGAAGAGGTCGTATGGGCAGTATTCCATAACCTCGTACCATTTCCCTCGCTCATGGACAATGTCCAGTGTTTCCACAATGTTGCCATGATGTAGAGTAGAACCAATGCAAAACTCGGCCGTCACCTTCTTTGCGTATTCCCGCTCAGACTCATACGGGTGCCTGGCTCTAAATTCTTTCACGGCAAATGTAACACCGTCGCTGGCTCTCTTCATTAAACGTACGGAGCCACCAGCCCCCGAGCCTAGCACTTTTCCGAAACGCCCATACTTCTTCGAAAGGCCGTGGTCATCGGCAAACGGTGCTGTCAACGAGACCTGACTAACAGAAGATTTGGAGCTTCGGATGGAGCTAGCGCCGGGTGACTGAGACCGTTTCTGGGATGACCTGAAGAATCTCTTTAGATCGGACATGGAACCCTTCCTGCTTCCCAAACCAAGAGTGGAACTGTCGTCATGATGTTTCCCGAGTGAGTGAAGCGAGAAATGAGAGTGGTGCTTTTTATCCGATCGAGCTTCTCCGCCAACCGAGGAAAGACTCGAACTCGAACCGTGATGCCGGCCTCCCTTCCCAAACTTGAATCGGGGCTCAATATCTTCCAGCTTCTTCGGCTGGGGAGGTCGTTTACTTCTAGCGTAGGGGTCATCGAGTTCGCCGGCTGGAGTAAAGGGCCTCGAAGGAGGTTGGAAGATGGGCGTGCGAGCTCCGGCCTCTATAGGTGTGCCCAAAGGGCTATTATCCCGCGAGGATGACTCGGAGCCTTCAGGAGGTCCGATGGCGAAGGCTGCATTATGTCTTCGGGAGGGTTCAGCATCAGTCAAGCCAGGTTGGGACGAACTTGATGAATGTGGTCTTGAGCTATTACCCTCCGCATCCAGTCTTGACAATGCAGTTCTCGTGGACCCAGGTCGAGGTGGAGACGTTTGCGGAGTCACAGTTGCCGGGTCCCCCGTGGCTGGTTTCGGTGCTTGGCTTCCGGGCACCCGAAGTTCCTCGGAACGTGTATGCTTGAACTGACCCCGGTCATGAGTAGAAGCGGGAGTGAGCGGTGGTGAATGCATTGGTTTTAGCAATGAAGTGATCGGAGCTTCCGAATCCGAATGAGGTGTCTGAAGAGAAGGAGAGGAGGTTGGATCAGGAGCAGGAGATGGAAGAGGAGGAAGGACACTCTCAATGGTTGGCACCTATGACAGCGAATTTTCAGAAGGACTTGTCAGTTTCGAATCCATGACAGATCAATATTTGTTGAGCAAACCCCGAACGACGCTTGGCCCTGCAGAAGCAACGAAAACGTGCTCCAGTGCTCAAGGAGGTTCGTATGCAGGGGTAGCACAAGTGGAGGGGGGGTGCAAGTGTGGCTGCGTGTGGGGGAAACGTACTCTGGATGGAGGCAAGGAAAAGGGTGTGTAATCGAATAGGCTCAACCTGCGATGCTGCAGAGACGACTCTTGAAAGTCAGGAGGGGGGATGTCAAGCCGCTGACCCATCCCCGGTGGATCGTCCGAAGTGTGGTCGTCGGGGAGGATGAAGGTGGGAACGGTTTCTGCTTCCTCGCGGAAGGAAACAACGGGTGGCATGGCATCCCTTTCCTGGCTCCCATTACCCAGCTTGTCGTTAGTCTGATGTTGAAGAGCCATTAGGGTTCCAGTAGGAGGGTCAATTGCGTATGGTTGATGTTGACCTGGGCCGTTTCCTGGATCGTAATGGGAGCTTTGGTGCCTAGGCTGTGTTTCTAATTTTATGCTCCACGACCTCCAAACGTTCGTGGAAGCTTATCCCTTTCCCCCTTTCACTATTTTCCCTTTCAATAGCACAAGGGCCAAGTCCTGTTGTCCTCACGAGAATTTGATGCGGAAGGCCGGCTTTCCTTTTCCCACCCTGCAGCAGGTATGATTAGCCGTTTGCCTGCTGTCCCAAGTTTCGGTGGTTTTCCTTTTTTGTCGATGCGGTCACTCAAGCCAGACTCGGAATAAATGGATCAGAGAGGTCTCAGGACGGGGAAATCTGGGTAAAAGAGATCGGGCAAGGAGGAGGTGCCGGTAGAGGGGAACCAAGGCAGTCAGTGGGCTCGAAGGATAGGACAGGATAGGATGGAAGGTGGGGGTGTGGGTGGATGTGGGAAAGAGCGGAATAGCCTCTCACAGAAGGATCTTCGGGGGATCTTCGGAGGGGAAGGGAGAGCACGGATACAAGAGATTGAGTACAGTACCGGTACTTTTCCCCGAAGGGAGCAGCCCCAAGCGACCGGGAATACTACAAGCCGCCGCTAGTACAGTACTGTACCGGTACGGTACTCGTACTCGTACTTGTACTCGTACTGTGCTCGTGGGGTGCCGTAACAACCGCCCAAACGTTGGAGAGCTGACGGTGCACGAGTGATGATAGCGGCAGCCAAATCGTAGGTCTCTCTCTCTGGAGGGGCTCTTCCTTCGAAAGTTCGGACGCTTTCTCCATCGTATCTGATGCATTTCCCCATGGGACGAAGGCTCCCGGAGCCTGGCCTTGTCTTTTAATTTCCCCCTTCCCTCCCTCGCCGTCCTCGCCCGGGAAAAGATCACTTTATCGTGTCCACTGTGCTACCGATACGCGTGCGAAATGAGATTAGAATGACTACGTGCAGCGGCTCCGAAAACCCCGACAGGGCCTGATCGGAGACGCAACGTTCCGTGTCGGAATTGGCGTTAACTTGTGCAACCTTGAGTCAATCCTTACGCCATCATTGGAGCAAACAATTGTCATATCACATTCATCCTGAAAGCCAAGAATGCGGATTGTTGGGAGTATGATAGGATAGAGTTTGTGAAAAAACCCTTGTGAAAAACTTCTACAGGCACCATCCGCTATCTCCGGAGGGGAATCGCGGTCCAGTGCCGTGTTTTCCGCCGCGTACCGGCCGGTTTCTCTTAGCCAGATAGCCGGCACCGCCGGTGCTCTACTCCTAGCAAGCACGGGTATCGTTGCCTTACCGGCGGATTATTGGGAACTTTTCGGAATCAGTCTGTAAGGAACACTACCGTCCAATCAAATACCCGCTGTCGTAGCGATAAAGAGCAGCGCCCGAAACTCAGCGTGGGCCTGGCGGAGCACAGGTGACGCGGACGTGGAGTACCGGCACGAGGAGTGCGGCCGATGCCGGTAGATCTCGTCGTCATGAGCCCCTCTCCCACCTTCTGCCTATTGTCTGCACCGTGAAACGGTTTGAGGTTGGGGCAACGAACCCGTGCGATACTCGAGCAATAGCCTGAATATCAGCTTGATAATACCATTATATAGCGTATGATATCTTTTCCTTGTCCATGGCATCATTATTGCTTGCCCTGACCTGGCATGTGCCTAGCCAGTTGTGTAAATTGCTCGAGTGTAGTACAGCACACGAAGCCTCTTGGAATTGGTGAGACGACCAAGCCCCCGCCCGCTAGTCACGATCCTTCAATCCAACAGCCAATCAAGCAGAAACATCTATGAGGGCACATTTCCGGAGCGACAAAGATTGGTGGACCAGGCTTCGGCACTTCATCATGTTCCATTTTAATTTGTTACTTATTACCGGCTGTGGTGAGTGAGCGGACCGGGTGGGGTGCCCGGTGCAGCAGCCACCCCCCAGCACAATGTTCAGCTTTCCCGCGGATAAGATGGTCGAATGCGGGACTTCTCAGGTCGGAACGGACTGACTCCAAACTCATATTAGAACCTTGACCGAGCGGATGAGTAATGTTACGGGCCCCACTGTGATCAAGATCGAGGCCGAGGTTGACAATTTCAGGTGGAAGTTTCTCACTTTCGGAACAGGGACTGCCTTACCGGGCGTTGGAACGGCGGTTTTACACGGCGTCGCAGCTTTTTTCCCCCAGAAGTGATCATGGTATACGAAAAGTGTTTTGCCAGGGTGGGCAGGTGAAAGACGGCATGCTTCCATATCATACGGTAGCTTCAGCAAAAAAAAAGGCCTTGGCTATGGCATCTAAAATGGGATTGGACCATTGAAAAGGGTCCCCGCATCGCTAGGAATGGTTCGGTTCAAGCTGGACGAGACAGGGTGAGGAGTAACTGTAATTGTTTGGTTCTACCACACCTGATCAGATGTCATCACGAGAACCTGTGTTTGAAGTGGAGTTTCCGAGCCTGTATTAATTTACTGTAAGGTAGCGTGATAGTAGACAAGTATCATAGTTCCAGTCGACATACTCCAGTGTGGGGTAGCCGAGTGATCTTGTATGATCACTCACATCAAAGACTTATGATACCCCGAACTGTAACCTCCCCCCCCCCTGTCCTGAAAGTTGGAAAAAAGGGTCTTGAGCGAGGCCACAGGACGTAGATGCTCGCACTACCCCGCTTGAATTTATATAGCATTATCTATTCTACTTCCATTTGCCTGCAGAGCGGGGCTCCATGTGGTATGAGATTTACCAAGGATGAAGTTCTGACGAAAGGGTGGGTGTGGGGAAACATTCTCCGATACCCAGTTGGCGCAAGGACCACCTCACTCACTGTGGTCTCGCTCCTGCTTACGCACGCTTGCGAGAGATACCAAGTACCCGGAATAATAATACCGACACTGTAATCACGGGAACTCTCGGGGAAGGGAGGATAAGTTTGGTCTACCTTACAAAATGCACTCCGGCAAATTCGGGTGGGGGGGGGGGGGGGTGGTATCATAATCCGGGGGAAATGAGCCCCGCCCCCTCCCCACAAACAGCGTTTTGCTTGGGGTATTGTGACATTGAGCCGTATATAAATTCCAAGAGTAATACCTCGCACCAAACCCGTAATACAGTAGCCCCCGATTCCCCTCCCTCCCCGTTTCGCTTCGCTAGTAGTCGGTAAAAGAAAGTGTGGCGCGACTTTTTTTTTTCTTTTTAATAGGGTGATGTATCTTTTTTTTCTATTCTACCCAGGTGGAGGAAAGAGGAATACCTGTTTCTGCATTTCGTGAGATTGGATTGTTGAAAAATTACAGTTTTGCGGACTGATTGGGATGGTAGCCTCTGTGTTATTTTTCCAGTGGTCGTTTGTGGATAATTGGCATTTTAGTTTCTTCTACTGTACGATGTGATTAAGGGACAAAATATTGGCTTACTTTAAAAAGAAAAAAAGAAGTCATGTCATACTTGCTTTTCCCGGCTATGGGCGGAGAAAAATAGGAGGAGAACTGGCTATTATATGTAGAAAGGAGGGGGGAGGAGAAAAGGAGAGATGGTGAAAGATATGTAGTTTTTCGACTAGTAACTTACTGGTATCGTAATAGGAGCTAGACTGGCAAACAACCGACAAGAAAAGCAAAGACATGTACAATGACAAGAGGAAAGAGGAATAAGGGAATTTATTGATAATTGGAAAAGGATATAATGAAGGATCTGGTGTATAAGTTTTTTTTATTCAATCATTTCGTTACTTTGCTTAAGCTATTGTACCGCACAAGAGCAGGTATCATACACCGACGCGCGACCCAATTGCTACATAGCCCCTCGCGTCGGGCGCTAGGTTGCTACCGCACCACATCCTTCCTACAATACTCTCCCCGGTGGCCCGCTTCCAAACACGCGAGTACCGTATCATAGGCGAGTGTCGGATTTCACTCAAAACTAGCCTCTCTTGAAAGTGTTTCAGCAAATCGCCCCGGCCTGCGTGATTTCTTATGATTCTCCGCCAACCTTCTTGGCACGCTAAACCCTTCTGGGAGGCCTAGGCGCGAGCACTCTGGCGCCATCCTATCGCGCCCGGAACAGCTCACACGCAAACTCGTACAGTACAGTTATGTTAGCTGGCGATTCACGGCCAGCCTCAACTAAACACCCGCTTTTCTTCCTCCTCGAGCAGATATTCGATATGCCCACAGGAATCATGTGAGCTCCCCCGCTATTATTACCCTACTCGATCAAACCCGACCCTATACCGGTGGATTGGGAAGGCGGCCATTTCTGCCTTTGCCTTTTCTTCTATTCCTGTATCATAATTTATCATACCCAACCAGCGAACCTCACACCTCCGCTGCCGTCGCCAACTCCTGCCCTTCGCTCCTCCGCCCGAACAAGCCTCCCCGACTGGAACTGACGCTTAGGGACCCGGTACGACTTACCTTGAACTACGTACCCACATCACCGTTTCATCATCTCCCCTCCACCCTACAAACCCCCGGTTCCAATGGCCTCGCTTTCATCACCACCGCCACACCTCGCCCACTGCACACCCTACTGCACCTCCGATCCCGTCCTCGGACACGTCCTCGTGTTCTTCAATCCACACTCCTCCTCTTCCCCCGCTTCTGTATCTCGCATAGAGGCTCATATGCTTACTTGCGCTGGCCTGCAATCGTACTCGAAGCTTACATTATCCCCTTCGTCCCCGCTCTACGCTGCCGTGAACCACCTCCCACCCCAAAAGCAGAACCAGGAAGTTTACAGAGGCCTTGCCATCGCCGTGCTAAAGTACTTCTCCGAGCTTCCCAAAACCGTAAAGGAAACAATCCTCAAGAGCAAAAAGAACAATGTCCTGCCGAGCGGGGAAGCCCAAGCCGTCGCTTTCGACGAGATGCATGCTGGGGACCTGGCTGCGCGCCTGAAGGAATTGGAGTTGGAAAGTTTGCTTGGGGACCTCAATTCCGCTTTGGCGGAGCGCTTCTTGACATGGCTGGACGTTGACCTTGTGCTTCGCTCGCCTGCCAACGTGGAGTCTGATGCCGTTCCGGAGGCGGCTGAAAAGTTGCTGGAATTGTTTGGCGTGCCTACACATCTGCCCTTCACGAAACTAAAGCGCGCGCAGAGTAGGCCGGCATCCGCCAGGCCGAGGCCCCTAAAGGATTCTGCTGAGGGGATCGAGCGTGAACTGGAACAATTGCGCATTACGGAGGCTAGCTATGTTGGGAAATTGCAAGACCTTTTGGTCAATTTGGTCAGGCCACTCAGGAGTCGCGCTTCACAAAGGAAAGGCGATGGTGGATTCCCTAATGGGAGGGATTTGGAAGCATTGTTTCCACCTTCGCTAGATAGAATACTTGAGCTTAACATGGCCTTTCTCCAGGAAGTCGAAAAAGGTGGGCTCCCGGATGTCGCCGATTGCTGCTTGAGGAGGTTCCCCGATTTCAAGGAATCCTACGAGGAATATATCCAGGCTAGCTCCGAATTTCCCCAGCTGCTTGCCAAATTTGCCAGGGATAGGCACTCCTCCTTCTCCAAGAGAATCCAACTAGCCGGAGAGCAGAAATTGAGGTCAATGATAATCGAGCCTGTGCAGAGGTTACCGAGATATACCCTCCTGATTGATAGCATCATCGGTTTGCTTGCATTCGACGATCCTTCCCTGCCAAAGCTTGTCGATGCACGCGAGATAATCACCGAAATATGTTCCCTCCAATCTTCCGATAAGGATGAGCGCTCAAAAACTACAAAGCGTTTGCAATCCATCGTGGTTTCCTGGCCACCCTCACTTCGACTTCCCGGGCGACTGATTACAGCATTTGACTTCTTGGACGTATTGCCGCCATTCAATGACAAGACCTCCGAAGCTATCCCTTCCACAATATTGCTCTTCCCCGACCGCCTGCTTATCCTGCGGAGACCGAAGTATACGTCCATGCAGGCAAGAGCCATAATGGCTGAAGTGGACAAACCCGGGGGAGGAGGAGGTATGAGCAATTACGGCAGCGGTACTAAGCGGGAGGGCCTAGGTTGTGACCTGCAGTTTGCTGGTTGGGCGGACTTGGCCGATGTTAAATTTGCCGAGAGTGATAAGGGGGATGTTATTTGGATGACACTTGCCCGAGACTTGAGAGATAGCTGGGACGTGAGGGCAGGCGGGATGGGGATCAGAAGGCTCAGGCTTCTCAACGCTTATGAGGGACGAGCGACCAAGTTAACCGAAGACATTGTGAAGGCTAGGCTCGAGGGGCGCGTATTAAACGGTAGGAAAGGCCTTGTAGGTTTGAGAGAGGCTAAGGTGGAAGGCCTGGGATTGTGGGCTTGTGCCTGGGGGAATGAAGATAGATATGCGACCGAGGGCAAGAAGGGGAGTGTGGTTGTATACATTGACAATGGCGGTGGCGGCCCTGAGAGCCCGGGGAAGACCGGGAGGGAGTTGGCAGCGGATGTAGGGAAGGGCGGTGTCGATATAGCTGTTAACGTCGAGGCCATCATGGGCAGCAAACTGAGGGTGGAGTTCCGCAGCTGGAACGAGTATTCCTCAACCGATACTGTTTCTCGCGAAGAGTTCCTTGCCGTGTTCACGAAGCGCCTGTCCTCAATCGTCAGACTCCACTCTCTACCTCAGCATCCTCCTCTGACCGCAGCCTTGATGTCGGCAAACAGAAAGCTGCTACGGTCCCTGGGTGTCCCATTTGATGGTGAAAGTAGGTTTAGTAAGCTCAGACCTCCCAGTCCTGTTAAGCTTCTTTCCTCCGTATTCGGAAGTAGCAACAGCAATAGCCCGGGCACCCCCGGAAGCCCGAGCAAATCTAGGCAATTGATGGATAGAACTCAGAGCCAAATTCTGCCGCCCAAGATGCTGGACCGTAGTTCGGCGATGCTGCAAAAACGTTCGACGGTCCTGGGAATAATGGGAGACTGGAATGGTGAGCCGGGTGAGGGCGACCTGGAGATTAGCTTGCAGAGCATAACTATGCCTAGCGAGAGCCCATTGAAAAGGCTAGAGGAGACCTTGGAGGCCTTTGTGAAAGCATTAAAGAAGCTCTCATCCGCCGAGCACTCGGACCTGATGCCTCTCAGGAACATGCAGGATGTAGACGATGCAGCGGTAGAGGGGTTCCTAGGTATGATGCTCACAGATCCGAAAGCCGCGAGGGGTGAGAGGAGGATGGGTGTCGATATCGTCTTTGACGCTTTCAGGAGGTTCCTGAGGAGGGAATGGAAGGATGGGATGGGGAGTGTCATCGACGGCAAAGGACTTGCTGAGCTCCGCTCCAAGAGCGATACCCTCTATCCCGGTGATTTCGAGGATTTTTTCAAAATCTTCGTCCTCGACTGGGCTCCTCAGAATAAGCGAGCTTTTAAGACGCTGATCCTGTTGTTAAAGAGCATGCAGAACAGGGTCGAGAACCCCGACGATAAAGGCCTTTTGACTAAAGCTTTCACTGAACTATTGGTCGAGGATGAAGACCCCTTAGAGTTCATGCCCCTTGTGGACAGACTAGTCGAGGAGGCAGACAATCTCTTTAGCGGTAAAAATGTCACCCCCCACTCAAGACCTGGGCTTGAAGCTGACAGGGCGGTAGAACCACTGGTAATAAACAACGGGGAATTCACTCTCCCCAACGGGAATGCAGTACTCAGGAGAAATAAATCTATTCACGCCGCCTCGAACTATTCCACCGCATCCTTAAGGAAGCGGTTTGGCTTAACTCATACCTCCTCCGCCCGTGATCCAATCAGGGGAGAACACCATGGCGATTCGGCAAAGAGTGGCTCTGTCTGGAGGACTTTGAGCAAGAATTCCCGCAGAGAAGAATCGCAGAAGGGTCATATCTCGAGGTCGAAATCGACAGACTATGACGCCAGAACATACCACTTTCCCAAGAGGCCGACATCTCAGGACCGCCCAACAGCATTTTCCACCTTTACGCCCCTTCCACCTTCACCCTCATCGCCAATGCGTCCACTTTCCGCCGCCTCTGGGCCTACCCACCTTACCGGTGGCAAGCCTCTGCCACCCGAGCCTGCCGTCCGAAAGAAGAGAAGAAGCTCCTTGAGCGATTTGACCACCCATCGGGACTACCAGCAGATTTTGCCGGCCCGAGCAAGCCCCGATCTCGAGAAGACGACAACCCCCACAAAGTCCGGCATCAGCGGGCTCAAAGACATGGAGAATTACAGGGCGGCAGAGAGTCCGAGTCCTTCCCAACTACCAAAACCGGTTGGGGGTGGGGCTCCGGGCCGAAGAATGAGCAAAGACAGAAGCGAGATACCCGTCAGAAAATCTCTTGGCATGTCTGGCTCGCCCGGACCCCAAAGGTTAAAGATGCAAAGCACCCAGAAACTGAGAGAGCGCCTTCAAAACGAGAAGCAGGCGATCACCATGGTTGACCAGAGCCTTCAGTGTGAAATTGATAAGATCGGTGAAGAGCTGAGTCTCGCGACCAGGGTTTCGTCCCGTGGGGTCAAGGAACTCACGACCCGTCTCGAGCAGGTGGAAGCGCGTCTCCCTCAGATCAACGAGCTCAATGGCAAGTACGAGACGCTCAAGAAAAGCTCTGATACGGTGCTAGCCAAGAAAGACAGAGAGTTGGAGGTCCTGGACAAGGACTTCAACGACTGCTTGAATGAGAATGACGTCATGTTTGAGAAGTTCAATGAAGAGCTGGTCAAAATATCTAGCGGTCTCAAGGCCGGGAGAGATGTCGAACTGTTGAAGATTTTGCAAGAAGTGAGGGCCGAGCAAGCGAAATTAAAGAGGGAAAATATGTAAGTGCTGTATTCTCCGGCTTATGCACCCCCATATCGAACCGCACTAACGGAGAATCAAGGAAACTGAGGAGGGAGAACAATTCGTTGAGGGCGCAGCTGGGGGATAATTGATTATCATTATTTTCGCATAGATAGCACGGCCGGTGACGTTTCCCTATTTTATTACGGGTATTGGGGGGGTTTTTTTTCGTTCTTTTTTTCCTTCGGTCTTCCTTTCCCGGCTTTCCATGTTTTTCCCAAGCATAGGCGTTACATTTTGATATCCTTGCGTGAACGGTTTATATCCTCTTTAGCTGTGGGTATTAGTGTTTCTTTTCATTGACTCTGTGTACCATATGATAGTATGCTTTCTGTGTACTCGTAAAGGGGCGTTCATGAGGTAGTAGCGATAGATATCACGAAGGACGCGTCATTAAGGCATTACTTGTAGTGTAGTTCTCGTGCTCTTAAAATCTTGTGATGGGCGCAGAGTGTTAAGCATTACCGGTATGGATAGACTAATCAGAGTGCTGTTGCTGCAATGGGTGGGTGATTTCCAAGACTCAGCGAGTCTGTAACCGACTCCCCGGAGTTACCGGTACCTCGGAATGGGACTGAGGAGCCTCAGGTGACTGCGAGTACCGTACGATACTGCACCGTAAGAGTACGAGTATGTAGAGCATTACGAGTATGATATATGCCGGTATATGGTACAGGTGCAGTATGATACCAAAAACAGTTTGGCGCCTGCGACTTACGGTAACTTATGTGGGAGAATCTGACGAAAGCGTCTGGCGTCCCATAACCGACGCTCGGGAAGAAATATTCCGGAGAAAGGATTAACCTGCCCCGCCGCCAAGCTGCAGGAACAACAAAAACCCACGCCTCCCCTGCTGAAGCTACAGTCACCTTTCCCTCTCCATCATTGTCTCTGCAACCATTCTCTTCCCCCCCCTACGTCTTCCCCCCCTTCACTTATACGTTACTTTCGCAGATCGCAGATATTGGACATGCTCTCTTGGGTTAAATCTGCTGCTCAGAGCACGTATGTTTCCTCCCTTACTTTTCGGATTCGATGCGAAGAAAGATTCGTAGCTTATTGTCCAGTTTGGCTACCGTCGCCGGTACCGCCGAGCCGATATACGGCCCCGAGGCTTTCCATACCGTAGCGAAGCAAGAGAGCTTGAATCCCTCCAATGAAATCACCAAAGAGGATATGGGGTGGAATGTCCTGGAGACAACCTCAGTCGAGACGCAGACTTTCTATCTCAATGCGGACTCGGGCCATCATGGACTTGTACAGGTCATCTACTCGAATGTTGCGTAAGCTGCCAGAATCCCATCTCCCCTGCGTCCTCGCAGGCCACCATCGCCTGACTATTCGCTCCTGTAAAATAGAAACCTCCATTTCACTGTGCAGCTGAGCACTAAGATTTTCCACCCCGATGGTAAAATTGTCTGGTCTTCGAGGCCTGTTACGAACTACGGCTTTGACGTGGGAAACTACTCTTTCTACGCTGACAACATGGCGATAACCATGTCTGAGGATGGGAATTCATATTCTATCAAGTCTATGGTCGATCCGGAACTCAGCATCGACCTTACTTGCACACGCTTGGGCCCCGGCTTCAAGATCGGTAGGGATGGAAAGTCCCTGTATGGCACCGACCCTGCGGACCCTTGGGGAGCTATTAGGCATATTTTTTGGCCTAGGAATAAGTTGACGGGATGCATGGTTGTTGCGGAGGACGGGGATCCGGTGAAGATCGATTTCTCGGGAAGCGCCATGTTGGTGATGGCCTTGCAGGCTATGAAACCCCACCATGCTGGTGCGCGTTCGTTGGTGATATCTGGTGGCGTTATATGGAACTGATTCTGGGTGATGTCTTTTTAGCTGCCAAGTGGAATTTTGCCAATTTCCAGGGGCCGACTATGTGCGCCGTCATGATGGAGTTCACTACCCCACCTTCGTATGGAAGTTCGAAAGTGAATGTTTCTGGCATCGTGACTGATGGAGAGATTATCGGTGCTAGTGCCTGCGGCACCGTTGAGCATCTGAAAACCAAGCTAGATGAGGAGGCCGGGTGGCCGGAGCCAACCGAGGCGAAGTTTGTCTGGAAATCGAACAGGGATGGGAAGGACGTGGAGGCTGTCATCGAGGGTTCTCTTGGCGACAGGATCGACCGCGTGGATGTCATGGCAGAGGTTCCGGCATTCATCAAGAAGATTGCTTCCAGTGCTGCCGGAACGAAACCCTACATCTACCAGGTTAGTCTCAAGCCCCCAACCATACAAATGCCCCCGTTCGTGTACAAGGCTGACGATTATAAACAGTACTCCAAGCAAATGACCCTGAAAGTCAAGATCGGCGATCAGGTCATTGAGGAGGAGGGAAAGTTCTTCGGTGAAGCAACCTATATTTGCGAATAAAATTAGCCAGAATTCAGCTTCGCTCCCGAGCAGTCATCCACCACTACCCATTGTTCTCCCCATTTTCACCCAGCCCTGATACAAGCGGGAAGTAAGCAGTACCGCAAAGCTGTAATTTTGTCTTTTTTTCCTTTTCTGTTTTTTTTTAAAATTTTGCTTCCCCTTCTTGGGTGGGGGTGCGATACACCACTCTGGTTTTTCTCGATTTTATTCTACCGAACCTTTTTCTCATATTTCGGGGTTTTGTGTTTGCTATGATCTCATGAAGGTATGGTATAGTACAGATACATTACGGTAATACGAGTAGTCTTGTAGTGAGTAATTCAAGATACCAGTTTCCTGTATCTTTTTATTTTGAGATAGAAGGTGCGAAGAAAGAGTAATTGTGAAAGGGGTTGGTATCGGGAAGGAGCACCTGAGAAATTCGCTACAGCAGACAATAATAAATACAAATACATCAGGGCTTAGGTAGACTATCTCACAACAATTGCCAATGTCAATCAAGTAGCAAGTAGATGCAGGAGGATAAAAGAAGAAGATGCAAGAAAAAAAGCGGAGAGGGGGGAAGAAGAAGAAAAATGATGGTTCTAGTACTTTTCATCGTGCCAGCCTCGATAGAGCAGATTTGTGAGCTGATTCTGAGATTTCATGATAGGTAAATTTTGCAAAGACTCTTGAGCGGCGAGAGTCACCTCGATATTGATCTGGTGCCCGTTGGCCTTGAGGCCGTCAAGGATAATGGAGACCGGGGTGGCCTAGGCTATGCTGTAGGAACCAGTAACACTATCACCGCCAGTGAGTAGACCACCAAGACGCCCGAGGCAGTCAACAACGCTGGCGCAGGAGTCACCCTTCACAGAGCAGGGACCAGACTTGTGATCGCAAGAGAAAGACGGCCCATTCCTTCAAGGTTTGGGTATCGCCATCGTCGAAGCAGCCGCATACAAAAGACGCAATATTGTTAGCCCGGCGGACAGCTAGACCGGTGGCATCTCCCCGCTTCATAACGACGAGGCGCTGATTGCCGGTCTGGCTTGGTCTGGTCTGGTCTGGTCTGGATGTTGGAACGGTACAGTACCATAAACCGCCCATAAATATGACCCCCGTCACATCCTATCGATGCCACGTCATGTGAGATCACTCGGAAGCCGGTGAAAAGCCAGTTGTCGAAATATTGTCACTTTCAATGTGTGATGGAGAGCACAGTACAGTACGGTATAAGCATTGTGCGGATACCCTACCTACTATCCGATCTGGGGTGCGTCATGATGCGGGTCCTCTCGATTGTATATGTAGATCTAACCGCGGGTATAATAATAAGTTATGTGGGTCGACTTCGGTTTACCATGTAGAGCGGGAGGTAAACAAACATAACCTCTTAAAATATTGAACTTTCAAAACCACCAAGATTCTTCATGCTGTATCTCGAGCTGTATTTTTCCTCTTCGGTCGATAACCGATTCTTTTTCTGGGTGTGTGACTTAGACGGCAGGCTTACAGACTAGCTGGAAGCGACGTTCAGTGCAGTCAGTCGAAAAAACAAACAAACAAACAAAAAAACACCTGAGTACTGTACACATGGTTGGTGATGGCAGCTTGAACCAAGCATACTTGTGATTTCCACAAACCGTGTGCACACACCCGTACCCGCGAGGAATATGGTTTCCACCCGGCAAGATGCGGGTATGTTCATCCAGGTAACTGTACAGTACAACACGGTGCGCGATATATTTGCCGTTTACAAACTATAGTGATTGTCGCTCGAATTGAAGTGTGTGTCAATCTGCACTCTGAAGCTGTATATTGAATCGGTGGTGCTTTGCTTTCCAGGCACAATCACCCCCCCCCGCTACCTCGTGGGAAATACGGGAACCAATTCCTGTAAGTATCCCACGTTGTGATTCCGTGTTTCTCGTGTCCGCATTGTACTTTCGCTACCCACGGTCTTCACGGCTGGCCCTTCCGGTGGGTTTTACATGAGAAAGGGTCTGGGGAATGACGATGTATCGGCCCCTCAATTCTCGTGTGGGGAGGAGGGCTATGGAAGGGCTGGGATGACAAGTCATCTGTATTGGTGAAGGGGCCATGGAGAGGGCTGGTGGTTTGCTGGTGATCATTTTGATATCCTTTTAAGAAACTGGCTAACGTTATTGGATCTCGAGGTTTGTTACGGAGCTATTAATCGACCCCCTCCCCTTTTGTTCGGGTACGGTTTGTTTAGAAGGGGAATGGTATTTTTTCTCTTCTGCGAGCATACGCCTTATAAAGGCAGCAACCCGGGGAGTTGCCAAAGAAAAGCCGCTACCTACCTACAGAGGAATGATGCTAGGACCTCCCCCCCCCAACCATGAAAACTCCGTCACCAGATCCTTCCTCAATGTCACTAAGGGTCCCCAACAACCTCTCCAAACCGAGTCACCACCAATCCTATGAACACCTACCCAAATGCATGAGCCGAAGGAGGGAATGAAGATAAGGTAAAGAGGCGTGAAACAAATGCAACAATTACTCAAACCCAGAAGTGTTTCTCATAGTAAAGGCCACTCCAGCAACCCTCCCAACCTCAACAACCCTGATCCAGCCCTTCCCGCCCTCCCCTTCCGCCTTGACTGTGACAACCCCCTCTGCATCCTCTTTTTGATATGGGGTTTCTCGTGTTCCCCCTGATCGCCCGGATAACGCCTTCCATCGTCATGCTTGTCCCATGCCCGGCTAGGTCGTTTAGGGCTGGATCGATCTCAGGGATGCGTTGCTCGGCGCCCGCACGTGCTAGGGCATCTCTTGATGGTGCCTTTTGTCGGGCCGCAGCCGCTGTTGCGGTTTTAGCGCAGATGCAGTCGTATAGGGTTGACGTGAGGGAGGATAGGGTTGATGTGCGGAAGGGTAGGCGGGCGGCGGGAGCGATGGGTCTGGGAGGGCGCGGCGATGTGTTTGCGGGGTTCTTGGAGAGTGGCTTAGTTCCTGCGGTGCAGTTGATGATTCGGTTGATACCGACGTGCCTTCGGCGGGCCATTTGAGGTGTCCGGATTCTCATGATATTCGCCTGTGGTAGTTGGCCTCTCGGCGGGCGACGCGGTAAAACCGTCTAGGGCGCGTTTTCGTTTCTTTGCTCAAGTGGGTATAGGAACGGACGTAGGGGTAACCTTAATCGCCAACCCCTCTGCTATGATAGCAAAACCAGGGCTTTTCGAAACCCTTCTTGCCAAACGATGACCGTTCGATAAGGTGCCGGCGGGGACAGCAGCGACGTCGCGTGTGGGAGGCATAGCGGTAGTGGGTATTCTGTACAGGAGGACTGGTGATAGCAATGCGTGTAGTGTCTGTGATGGCGGGAGTGATGGGAAGGTACAGTAGTGGTAATGGCGGGAAAGGAAAAGCCTGAGGGGGGTTGTTGATACTGGTTGCTGGGGCACCCATTCTCCAGCAATCAGGCTAGCCCTAATCAATCGCGCATACCGGTTATAACATGGGTCGGCAATAGAGGGATTTCGCAACGCGGGGTTAGGGATCGCTATCCCTGTGACGACCGTGTTTACTGTTGCAACAAGCGAACTTGAAAAATAGGGATTTCGCAGATTGACACAGAATTTGCTGTGATGTTAGCTTGTTGCAATGTGGAGTCGGATGCGAATCAGGATGCGTTGCTTATGCTTTAATAATACACCCGTCTTGACCATTAGTTTACAGGAGAGGTGGCGACGTGGGAGAAGAAGAGAGTGAAGTTGTTTGCCATCCCTATCTTTCCTTGATAGTGTTCAGGTTCTCAGCGGATCTTCAAATTCTACCTTCAACCGCTGCGCTATCTGTCTCCCACCTGAGCCGTCCCTAACCCGCTAGTGAAGGGGTCACACTAGAGCCTTTCTTTATGGTACCGCCTCCAGTGTAGGTCGTCCCTATCTCTATTGTGTGATGTGCAAAATGGGTGGGTGGAGACATCACCCGGGGAAATGATTGGAAGAGCTCCGATGGCTTTCACTTCTTCCTTTAACTACGCCACAGAGTGCCCAAAACTTGTACCAAGGTATGATGGGTGTGTTTTGCAATCCCTCTATTGGTAAAGGATAAAGGGGTATTAACAGACAAAATATTTCTACTTTATCGTCATTTCCAATTATTCCAGTTCTTACGGTATAATATATAACTGGAGGAAACACATGGCCCGACTTGATGTCCAGATGCAGAAGCACACTGGAGGCCTTTGATAGTCGCCAAATGGCAGCACCCGGCTCGAGTAGAAGGTGGAAGGTATGATATTTAAGCGCCGTTGGCATCCCAGCCGTCAGTCCCCAGTGCCGGACACTTGACAATTCAACAAGTATGATATCCGGAAATTGGCGCAAATAACGGCCATAAAAACGTCAAGATTTCCGGATACTCGCAGAACTACCAAGTGAGGAACCTTCGAGATAAAATGCTTTCGGATATGTCTCTAGGGATCTTGTAATGTCAGGGCGGCAACGGGCAATCACAAACTCCAGTGTGTCTCACTAGGAGCCGAGGGTATCGGAACGAAATGGGTATTGACGGGTTGTAACGTATCACCTTCCGGTATGGTACTAGAAACCGTTGGCGAAAGGGTTGAAGATAGTGCTATCATAAATTAGCTTAGACCCATTTGCGAACCTCCTGCCCCACTGAGGAAAGGAACCCAAGGAGCGTTCACAAAAGATGTGCAATAACAAGCCACTCCTCAGTAGTGGAGGTGAAGGCATCGGGGGCCCTACTTCTGGAAATTGTTTTAGGGGGCTCTTTGGACAATTTATGGGAGTAGAAGGTGAATTAGAAAAAAGGAAGAGTATGGTATGATGCGCCATCTGAAATCTTGGCATTCGGTAGCGGATTATAGACAAAAATCTACTCCGGGCTCGACCAACTTATTCTCCCGACTATTGTCAGACTCTGCTGTCCCTACCGGGTTCCTATATTCATCCAACTGTTTCTCCGCTATAGACCTTGCGATCATTGCACCGTGCTTTCATCCTATTAACCAATTAGGACACTGCCGTGGACCGTCCTTACCCCCTCCCCCCGTACCATCCTTACATACGGAGTGGCGTTATCACTGCTCTCATTTTTACTTGACCTCCTCTACTGCTATCATATGATATCATACTAGACTCGTATCCGGGGACTTTCCCTCCTCATTATCACAAAACTGCATAGTGCTTGCGATGGGCTGTCTTTTATCACTGTATGAATAGCGATAAGATGACCCCAAGGTCTGAACTTAATTTCTCTGAAATACCTCTACTCGTACAGCCATCCCTCGTTATAAGGAATGCCAAGAGTGCAGGATTGTTTGTTCGTGAAAACGAGGCTTCGATATGAAGAGTTTTCGGGGGTTAGCAAGGCGGAGAATCTGCATGTCTCATGTTAGTTCACCGTATAAACCTCCTCCTGGGCCTTGTACTCAGCCATGATGGGAGCAATATAATCTTCCCATTTCCCCGTTAACAGGTTGCCTTGTCGGACCGGAGAAAGCGCTGCTAAGCGAGTGCGATCTACAATTCTTAAATTATAATAAAATAACCGTCCTCACCACCTGTTTCCATCTACCTTGAAGCCCTCCAGCCAGACGGCTTGGTCAAAGATCTACTTCTGATGCCACTTACAATGTGCTGAATTCACATTCGAGCCATCCTCATAGATGGTTTTCTCTTATCAACTCCTGTGTCCTCCAATCCCACCGGTTCGATCAGGTTCCCGGCACTGGTGCATTCCATTACCGCTAACGCTACCGGAGCTGTTCCCCCTGCCTCTATACTACCCAATGCTCGGCTGCCATCAAGGGTCGGGGATGCCGCCTCAGAGATTAACGGTATGAGCATTTTTTGGATCATAGTGCCATTGTTCTTGGCATGCATGATCCATCCGATCGGCTCTGCCTGTGGCTTCCGCCCAGCCTATCGTCATCAAGTTCGGATTGGGCCACTCATGTCCCTGTTCGACATCTCACAACTACTATACGAGATACACAGCTACTACGGAAGTGCCCCGGGTGGTGATAGCATAATTCGCCGAATTCGCCGTACTATACGCGAGGTAGTAGTGGTAAGACTGTACCGACATCTAAGGAGCGAACAGGATGACCACAGCAACCTAGAAGGTGCTTCGCTGACTGCAGCCCTACTCTGTCGCTTCGAGAAAGCTGTCTATAGTGCCTGGATCAGAGACATATTCTCCATCATGTTGATATTGCAATATGTGGGGCGTTGTGGCTTCTATGGCATTCCTGTATCATTTTCTCTGGTGACCGTATATTTTATTTCATGGATCATTATGGAAATGATACTGCTAGTTGGTAAGGGCTGTGCCGCAGTGGATCCTAGAGGGGTGGATCCCCCAACGGCACATTCGAGTTCGCCGATTATTTCAAAATTTGCCGGGATTGTGTTCAAGTTGTTCTTACTCCAGGTCATCACGTTCTACACCGGGACAATGATATTTCTCTGGAGAGAAATCTTTCGTGGAACCATGTTCGGACACTCAGGGGGGTTATCATTTCCCTCCATTCGCTGTGCCGCGCATCTGAGTGGTTTGTTTTTACCTCAACATTGGATAGGGCATATGTTTGCCTTTTACTTCGTCATCCATGGGACTGTGGAGCGAGTTGTATGGTACTGCATTTGAGGCGTAATCTCCGGTCTCTGTTGGATGTCTGTGCTCGCTTTCTGCCTTCCTTTTGCCCCCAGGATGATGTCTTGGGTTCTGGGACTTAGTGCTTCAAATGCTAATTATTTGATGTTTTTCTATGCTTCCCGTTTACCTTGGCCTGGGGGAACAGGAGAGGAGGGGCTGCGCTGGGAGGAGGGGCCGCCCAGGCAGGGGTTCGTTTTCCACAGTTCGGCTTTCATCTACGCTGGAGAATTGGTCTTATGTTATATTTTTCTTTTCGACCGAGAGGGTACAAGGAAGGCCTATTAGACAGAACATTTGCCATGATGTGTAGAGGGATGCAGAATAGGCCGGGTGTGGTCAGCACCTGTAACAGCAAGTGATGTTAGAGGTTATTGGTTGATTGTTCAAGATTACGGGTGATTCTGGGGGTTGTGGGGGCATTGTGGCTCGATTAGGAGTGTGGCCAATTCAAGCTTACTGATTTGCTGAGCCGGAGAATATTCTCCAGGTATGTCTTTCCTTTGCTATCGCGGGAGTGTGCGGCGGAATGGGGACAAGGATGGAGAAACAGAGATAAGTGTGGGAATCCATGGAAGGATCAGGATGCGTTTATTATGCTTTCCCTTGCACACCTGTCTTTACCATCAGTTTACATGAGAGGTGACGATGTGAGAGAAGAAGAGAGCGGAGTTGTTTGCTATCCCTACTAGTAAGTTAGTATCTTTCCTAGACAGTGTCCAAGTTCTCCGCAAATCCCTCAAATTCTACCGTCAACCGCTACGCTATCTGCCTCCCACGTGAGCCCACTTTAACCCACAAGTGAAGGGGTTACATAAGAGCATTTCTTTATGATACCACCTCGAGTGCAGGTCGTCCCTATCTCTGTTGTGTGATGTGCAAGATGGTGGAGACATCATCCGGGGATATGATCGGAAATGCTCTGATGGCTTTTCATCTCTTCCTTCCACTACGCCGCAAAGTGCCTACAACGTGTACTGTGCCAAGGTATAATGGGTGCATCTTGTAATGCCTCTATTATTAAAGGATAGAGGGTTATGAACAGACAAAATATTTCCACTCTATCGTCATTTCCAATTATTATTCCTGTTCTTATGGTATAATATACAACTGAAGGAAACACATGGCTAGATGTAGAAGCGCACTGGGGCCTTTGATAGTCGTCAACTGGCACAGTCCGGTACGAGTCGAAGGTGGAAGGAATGATATTCGAGCACCGTTGCTAGCCCAGCCGTCAGTTCCCGGTTCCGGACACTTGACAATTCAACAAGTATGATGTCCGGAAGTCTGGGCGCAAATAACGGCCATAAAAACGTCAAGATTTCCGGATACTGGCCGAACTGCCAAGTGAGGAACATTCGAGATAAGGTGTTTTCGGATATGTCTTTAGGGATCTTGTAATCATAGTTTGTTTTACAGATTGAAAGTGGGAAAGCGAGATTTGGAGAAGCTCCTCGGGTCTCAGGATAAATTAGGAGACTGGTGCAACCGGACGCGGAGCTACCATGATGCCTACCCACTATTAGGTCCTCCACCGTACCATATTGGTTAACTCATAGCTCCGCCCTCCATTCCTTTACCATTTTTTTGTCCAGACGTCTAACTAACACATTCTAAAATGTCGAATTGAACTATGCCCCTTCTCACCACCACTAACAGTTTCGATCCCGACCCAACTGAGCGTTGATATACGGTGCGGTGGTGGTGAGGGCCGGCAATTGGGCAATCCTAAACCCCGGGATGTCTCATAAGGAGCCGGGAGTATCGGAACAAACTCGGTATGGACGGGATATAAAGTATTATGTCACCTTCCTGTATTATAGAAACCATTGGCGAAAGGTTTGAAGATATGATACCATACCACTATCATAGCTCGGACCCGCATGTGAACCTCTAGCCCTGCCGGGGAATGGGGGCCAAGGAACGTTCATAAAAAGATGGGCAATAACAGACCATTCCTCAGTAGTAGGTGCGAAAGCATCGGGGGACCTAGTTCTAGAATTGTTTTCAGGGGGCCCTTGGGCGATTTGTGGGGGTAGAAGTTGGGTTAGAAAAAGGAAGAGTAAATTCACGGTATGATAGACCATCAGAAATCTTGGCATTCTGTAGCGGATTCTGGACAAAAATATATTCCCCCAGCCCTATCCGTGCTCGACCAACTTATTCCCCCGACTATTGTCGGACTCTACTGTCCCTACCGAATTACTCCTTTCATCAAATTGTTTCTCTGGTATGATATAGACCTCGCAATCATTGCACCAACCCTTCGTGCTATTAACCAATTAGGGCACTGCCCCTCCCCCCTACCATCATTATATGCGGAGGTATGATACAGCACCTAAGTTTTGTTTGTCCTACAAGTGGAGTTCGCTGAACTTAGCCCCTGTGGAACATGCAAAACTTAGGAGCTGTAGCTCTGTAGGGCTGTGCTTTCGGAAAAGCTTGGCACAAAAGTGGTATTGTCATTGCCCTCGTTTTCACTTGACCTCCTCCACTGCTATTTATCATATGATATCATACTAGATTCGTATCCGGGGACTTTCCCTCCTCGTTACCACAAAACATCATCATACTCGTGATGGGTTGTCTTTTATAACTACATTAATAGAGATGAGATGACCCCAAGGTCTGAACTTAATTTTCGGAAATCCCTCTACTCGTACAGCCGTCCCTTGTAATAAGGAATGCCAAGAGTTCAGGGTTGTTTGTTCTTAATAGCGAGGCTTTGATATGAAGAGTTTTCCTGGGTAAGCAAGGCGGAGAATCTGCATGTCTCATATTAGTTCCTTGTGTAAACCTCTTCCTGGGCCTTGTGCTCAGCCGCGATGGGAGCAATATAATCTTCCCATTTCCCCGCTCACCGGTAGTCTTGTTGGGCTGGAGAAACCATCACTACGCGGGTACGAGGTACAATTCTTAGTATAAAATAACTCCACTCTCCACCTCTTTCCACCCACCTTAAAGCCCTTCATCTGACAGCATGGGCAAAGATTTACTGCTGATACCACTTACAATCTGGCAAATTCACATTCGAGCTATCCTCATAGATGGTTTTCTCTTATCAACTCCTGTGTCCTCCAAACCCGCCGGTTCGATCAGGTTCCCGGCACAGGTGCATTCCTTTACCACTCCCGGAGCCGCGCTCGTTACCTCTACACCACCAGATCCACGAGACCCACTACCCGATGCTCTGCTGCTATCAAAGATCGGGGATGCCACCTCAGAGGTTAACGGTATGAGCATTTTCTGGATAATAATGCCATTGTTCTTGGCATGCATGATCCATCCGATCGGCTCTGCCTGTGGCTTCCGCGCAGTCTATCGTCATCAAGTTCGGATTGGGCCACTCATGTCCCTATTTGACACCTTACACCTACTATACGAGATATACAGCTACTATAGAAGCGCCTCCGGTGGTGATAGCATAATTCGCCGAATTCGCAGTGCTATACGTGAGGTAGTGGTAGTACGACTTCACGGACATCTAGGGACCGAACGGGTTGATAACGGCAACCTAGAAGATGCTTCGCCGACTGCAACTCTACTCTGTCGCTTCGAGAAATCCGTCTATAATACCCCGATCAGACACATATTCTCCATCATGTTGATATTGCAGTATGTGAAGCTTTGTGGCTTCTATGGCATTCCTGTATCATTCTCTCTGGCGACCGTATATTTTGTTTCATGGATCATTATGGAAATGGTGCTGCTGGTCGGCGAGGGTGGTGCCGCAATGGGTCCCGGGGGGGCAGATCCCCCAACGGCAGATTCGAGTTCGCTAATTATTTCAGAGGTTGCCGGGGCTGTGGTATTCTTTCTCCAGTATATCATGATCATCACCGGGACATGTATATTTCTCTTTAGGTACGATTTTTGTCCCAATATTGGACCACTGGAAAGGCTATCAATTCCCCCCCTCCGCTGTCTCACATTTCTGGGCCTTTGTTTTTCACACGAATATTGGGTGGTGCACATGGTTATCCTTTACATATTCTCCCGTACAACTGCAAAACAAGTCTTGGGGCACTGCGCTTCAGGACTACTCTTCTGTCTCGTTTTTATGCTGGTGGCCGGCATCCACCTTTCCTTCAACCACAGCACCCCCATCCCTTTGATTGTGGCTTATGTTCCTCCATATGTTATGTATTTGATGTTTTACTATGCATCTCGTTTGCCTTGGCCTGGGGGGAAAGGGGGGGAGGAGAGGCTGCCTTGGCAAGGGTTGGTTTTCGGTAGTTCGGCATTCACATATGCGGGAGACTTGCTCTTAGCTTATATTTTTCTTTTCCACTCAGAGGGTACGTGGAAAGCCGGTTGGGCGGAACATTTGCCGTGATGTGTGAAGGGGTATAAAATAGGCCGGGCGTGATCGGCACCTATAACAGCAAGCGATGTTAGAGGTTGTGGGTTGATGGTTCAAGATTAGTCAGGTGATTCAAGAAGTTGTCGGGGCATTGTGGCTCGTTTAGGAGTGTGGCGGATTGTTCTAGCTTACTGATTTACAGAGCCGGAGAATATTCTCCAGGCATGTCTTCCTTTGTTATCACGGGAGTGTGTGGAGGACTGGGGACATGGATGCAGAAGCGGAGATAAGTGTGGGGATCCATGGAAGGATCAGGATGCGTTGATTATGCTTTGCTCATACACCTGTCTTTACCGTTAGTTTAGAGGAGAGGTGGCGACGTGAGAGGAGAAGAGAGTGAAGTTGTTTACTCCTATAGTATCTTTCCTAGCCAGTGTTCAAGTTCTCAGCGAATCCTCAAATTCTACCGCCAACCGCTGCTCTATCTGTCTTCCACCTGAGCCGGCTTTAACTCGCAAGTGAAGGGGTTACATGAGAGCATTTCTTTATGATACCACCTCAAGTGAAGGTCGTCCCTATCTCTATTGTGTGATGTGCAAGATGGGTGGAGACATCACCCGGGGATATGATCAGAAGGGCTCCGATGGCATTCTTTTCTTCCTTTCACTATGTCGTAAAGTGCCTGAAACGTGTACTGTACCAAGGTATGATAGGTGTATTTTGTAATGCCTGTTGGTAAATGATAAAGGGTTATGAACAGACAAAATATGTCCACTCTATCGTCATTTCCAATTATTATTCCTGTTCTTATGACACAGTATACAACTGGAGGAAGCGAATGACTCCACTTGATGTCTAGACGTAGAAGCGCATCGGGGGCCTCTGATAGTCGTTAAATGACACTGTCCGGTACGAGTAGGTGGAAGGTATGATGTTCAAGCACCATTACCAACCTAGCCACTAGTCCCCGGTTCGGGAAATTTAACAATTAAACAAGCATGATATCGGGAAATCTTGGGGCAAATTACGGCCGAAAAATGCGAATATTTCCGGATACTCGCTGAACTGCCAAGTGAGGAGCCTTTGAGATAAACTGCTTTCGGATATGTCTCTAGGGATCTTGTAATCATAGTTTGTTTTACAGATTGAGAGTGGGAAGGCGAGATTTGGAGAAGCTCCTCGGGTCCTAGGATAAATTAGGAGACTGGTACAGTACAACCGGACGCGGAGTTATCATGATGCCTACCTACTATTAGGTCCTCCACCGTACCTTATCAGTTAACTCATAGCTCCGCCCTCCATTCCTTTACCATTTTTTTGTCCAGAAGTCTAACTAACACATTCTAAAATGTCGAATTGAACTATGCCCCTTCTCACTACCACTAACAGTTTCTATCCCGGTCCAACTGAGAGTTGAAATACCGTGCGGTGGTGAGGGCGGGCAATTGGGCAATCCCAAACCCCGGGATGTCCCACAAGGAGCCGGGAGTATCGGAACGAACTCGGTATGGACGGAATATAAAGTATGATATCACCTCCCTATACTATGGAAACCATTGGTGAAAGGTTTGAAGATACCATACCGCTATCATAGCTTGGACCCGCATGTGAACCTCTAGCCTCACCGGGGAATGGGGGCCAAGGAACGTTCATAAAAAGATGGGCAATAACAGACCATTCCTCAGTAGTGGGTGCGAAGGCATCGGGGAACCTAGTTCTAGAGCTGTTTTTGGGGGGCTCTTGGGCGATTTGTAGGGGTAGAAGTTGAATTAGAAAAAGGAAGAGTAAATTCATGGTATGATAGACCATCTGAAATCTTGGCATTCTGTAACAGATTCTGGACAAAAATATACTCTCCCAGCCCTATCCGTCCTCAACCAACTCACTCCCCCGACTATTGTCGGACTCTACGGTACTTGCCGAATTACTCCTTTCATCAAATTGTTTTTCCGGTATAGGCCTCGCAATCATTGCACCAAGCCTTCATGCTATTAACCGATTATGGCACTGCCCCCCCCCCCCCTACTATCCTTATATACGGAGGTATGATACAGCGCCTAAGTTTTGTTTGTCCCACAAGTAGAGTTTGCTGACCTTAGTCCCTGTGGAACATGCAAAACTTAGGAGCTGTGCATTCGGGAAAGCTTGGCATACAAGTGGTATTGGCATTGCCCTCGTTTTCACTTGACCTCCTCCACTGCTATTTATCACACGATATCATACTAGATTCGTATCCGGGGACTTTCCCTTCTCATTACTACAAAACTTCATCATGCTTGGCACGAGTATTCGTGATGGGTTGTCTTTTATAACTACATTAATAGAGATGAGATGACTCCAAGATCCGAACTTAATTTCTCTGAAATCCCTCTACTGGTACAGCTGTCCCTCGGGATAAGGAATGCCAAAAGTTCAGGGCTGTTCGTTCATGATAGCGAGGCTTTGATTGAAGAGTTTTCCCAGGTTAGGAAGGTGGAGAATCTGCATGTCTCATATTAGTTGCCTTGTGCTCAGCCACGATGGGAGCCATATAATCTTCCCATTTCCCTGCTAACAGGTAGCCTTGTTGGACTGGAGAAAACATCGCTACACGGGTACGACTTACAATTCTTAGTATAAAATAACTCCACTCTCCACCTGTTTCCATCTACCTTGAAGCCCTTCATCTGAAAGCATGGTCAAAGATTTACTGCTGATGCCACTTACGATCTGGCAAATTCACATTGGAGCCATCCTCATAGATGGTTTTCTCTTATCAACTCCTGTGTCCTCCAATCCCACCGGTTCGATCCGGTTCCCGGGGCTGATGCATTCCTTTACCCCTACCGCCGGAGCCGCGCTCGTTACCTATACACCACTAGATCCACGAGACCCACCACCCGCTGCTCCGCTACCACCAGAGATCGGGGATGCCACCTCAGAGATTAAGGGTATGAGTATTTTTTGGATCATAATGCCATTGTTCTTGGCATGCATGATCCATCCGATCGGCTCCGCCTGTGGCTTCCGCGCAGTCTATCGTCATCAAGTTCGGATTGGGCCACTCATGTCCCTATTTGACACTTTACACCTACTATACGAGATACACAGCTGCTACAGAAGCACTCCGGGTGGTGATAACATAATTCGCCGAATTCGCCCTGCCATACACGAGGTAGTAGTGATACGACTTCACCAACGTTCAGGGAGCGAAAAGGATGACCCCAGCAACTCAGAAGGCGCTCCACCGACTGCGCCCCTACCCTCTCGCTCGGAGAAAACCACCCACAACACCCGGGCCAGACACCTATTATTCATTTTATTGATATTGCAGTATGTGAAGCTTTGTGGCTTCTATGGCATTCCCATATCGTTCTCTCTGGCGACCATATATTTTGTTTCATGGATTATTATGGAAATGATACTGCTTGTCGGTGAGGGCTGTGCTGCAATGGATCTTAGTGGGGCGGATCCCCCAACGGCAGATTCGAGTTCGCCGATTATTTCAGGATCATACGGGCTTCTGGTATTCATACTCCAGCTCGTGACGACCATCATCGGAGCAACGATATTTGTTGTTGCCAGATTTGATTTTTGTGAATCCATCGTTGAATCCCCAGAAAGGCCACCACTCCTCTCTCTTCACTGTGCCATACATCTGGGTTTTTGGGTTTCACCCCTATATTGGGTTGGGCACATGCTTTTCCTTTACTACTTCTCCCATAGGACTGTAGGACAAGTCTTATGGCACTGCACTTGGGGAATAACCTTCGGTATCCAATGCATATTCATTGTCGTTTTCTACCCTTTCTTCATCCCCAGTACCCCACTGTCTTGGATTGTAGAACTTGGTGCTTCATATTTGAATTATTTGATGTTTTTCTATGCTTCCCGTTTGCCTTGGCCTGGGGGAGAAGGGGAGGAGGGGAAGCCCCTCACCCCAGGGCGGTTCGGGCAGGGGTTGGTTTCCAGCAGTTGGGCTTTCACATACGCGGGAGAATTGCTCTTATTTTATGTTTTTCTTTTCCACCCAGAGGGTACGTGGAAAGCCGGTTGGACGGAATATTTACCATGATATGTAGAGGAGTATAGAATAGGCCGGGTGTGGTCAGCGCCTGTAACAGCAAGCGATGTTAGAGGTTGTGGGTTGACAGTCCAAGAATTATGGGTGATTGTGGAAGGGATGGGGGCATCGTGGCTCCTTTAAGAGTGTGGCAGATTGTCCTAGCTTACTGATTTACGAAGCCGGAGAATATCCTCAAGGCATGTCTTTTCTTTGCTATCACGGGAGTGTGCGGCGGAATGGGGACATGGATGGAGGAGTGGAGATAGGTGTGGGGATCCATGGAAGGATCAGGATGCGTTGATTATGCTTTAATAATACACCTGTCTTTACCATTAGTTTACAGGAGAGGTGGCGACGTGGGGGAAGAAGAGACTGAAGTTGTTTACCATCCCTATCTTTCCTTGGTAGTGTCCAAGTTCTCAGCGAATCCTCAAATTCTACCATCAACCGCTGCGCTATCTGTCTCCTACCTGAGCTCACTTTAAGCCGTAAGTGAGGGGGTTACACGAGAGCCTTTCTTTATGATACCACCTCGAGTGCGGGTCGTCCCTATCTCTGTTGTGTGATGTGCAAGGTGGGTGGGGACTTCACCCGGGGATATGATCGGAAGAGCTCTGATGGCCTTCTTTTCTTCCCTCTACTATGCCGCAAAGTGCCTAAAATGTGTACTGTTCCAAGGTATGAAGGGTGTGTTCTGTAATGCCTCTATTGGTAACGGATAAAGGATTATGAACAGACAAAATATTTCCACTCTAGTGTCATTTCCAATTGTTCCTGTTCTTATGGTACGATATACAACTGGAGGAGACACATGACCCAACTTGACGTCTGGATGTAGAAGCGCACCGGGGACCCTTAATAGTTGTTGAATGGCAGCACCCGGTGAGTAGATGGTGGAAGGTATGAAAATTCAATCGCTGTTGCTGGCCCAGCCGTCGGTCCCCGGTTCCGGACATTTGACAATTCAACAAGTATGATATCCGGAAATCTTGGCGCCAATTACGGCTGAAAAACGCTAATATCTCCGGATACTTGTTGAATTGCCAAGTGAGGAGCATTTGATATAACCACTTTTGCATATGTCTCGAGTGATTTTGTGATCATAGTTTGTTTTACCAGTCGAGTGTGGGAACGCGAGGTTTGGAGAAGCTTCTCGAGCCCCGGGATACATTAGGAGTACTAGCACAACCGGACACGGAGTTATCATGATGCCTAGCCACTGTTTGGACCTCCACCGTACCGTATCAGTTACCGGTAAGTCATATTTCCGTCTTCCCTTCCTTTAGTACTTTTTTTTTGTCTAGAGGTCTAACTAACACATTCTAAAATGTTGATCGAAACTATGACCCTTCTCACCACTACTAACGGTTTCTATCGTTATCCAACTGAGCGTTCGGAAATATCATACAGCGCGGTGGGGGTGACGGGGGGCAACTGGGCAATCCCAAACCCCAGTGTGGCACAAGGAGCCGAGGGTATCGGAACGAAATCGGAATTGACGGGTTATAAAGTATCACCTTCCGGTGCTATGGAAACCGTTGGCGAAAGGTTTGAAGATATTATACCGCAGGCTGAGACCCGTATGCGAACCTCCAGCCCCAAGTGGAAAGGGAACCAAGGAACGTTCATAAAAAGGTGCGTGATAACAAACTACTCCTCGGTAGTGGATGTGAAGGCATCGGGGACCCTAGTTCTAGAAATCTTTTTTAGGGGTGCTCTTTTGACAATCCATGGGATTGGGGGTTGAATTCGAGAAAGGAAGAGTACGGTACTGTAACTAGTACTATACACCATCTGAAATCTTGGCATTCCATAGCGGATTATGGACCAAAATCTACTCCCCCTGTCCCATCCGTGTACTCGAGTATGCTCGACCAACTTATTCCCCCGAGTATTGTCGGACCCTACTGTCCATACTGAATTACTACATTCATCCAACTGTTTCTCCGGTATAGACCTCGCAATCATTGCACTGTGCCTTTATCCTATTAACCAATTCGGGCACTGCTGTGGACCATCCATACCCCCCCGTACCATCCTTACATACGGTATGGAGGTATAGTGCCTAAGTGTTGTTTGTCCCACAAGGGAAGCTCGCTGACCTTAGCCCCTGTGGAACATACAAAACTTAGGAGCTGTACCCGGTTGGGCTGTGCTTTCAGAAAAGCTTGGCATATAGGTGGCGTTGTCACTGCCTTCCTCTACTGCTGTCATGTGATATTATGCTGGACTCGTGTCCGGGGACTTTACATCCTCATTCTCACAAAGCAGCATAATACTTGCGATGGGCTGTCTTTCACAACTGCATTAATAGAGATGAGATGACCCCGAGGTCAGAACAAAATTTTTCTGAAATCCCTCAACTTGTACAACCATCCCTCGTGATAAGGAATGCCAAGAATTCAGGATTGTCCGTTGGTGATAGCAAGGCTTCGATATGAAGAATTTTCCTGGCCTAGGAAGGGGGAGAATCTGCATGTCTCATATTAGTTTATCGCATAAACCTCTTCCTGGGCCTTGTGCTCAGCCACGATGGGAGCAATACAATCTTCTCATTTCCCCGTTCACAGGTAGTCTTGTTGGACTGGAGAAAACGTCGCTACGCGGGTACAATCTACAATTCTTAGCATAAAACAACCGCTCTCCACCTGTTTTCATCCACCTTGAAGCCCTCCAGCAGACGGTCTGGACAAAGATTTACTGCTGATGCCACTTACAATCTTCCAAATTCACATTCGAGCCATCCTCATAGATGGTTTTCTCCTATCAACTCCTGTGTTCTCGAAACCCGCTGGTTCGATCAGGTTCCCAGCACTGGTGCATTCCTTTGCCACGCTCGTTGCCTCTACGCCGTTAGATCTACACGACCCACCACCTGGTGCTCCGATACAATCAAAGATCGGGGATGCCACCTCAGAGGTTAACGGTATGAGCATTTTCTGGATAATAATGCCATTGTTCTTGGCATGCATGATCCATCCGATCGGCTCTGCCTGTGGCTTCCGCGCAGTCTATCGTCATCAAATTCGGATTGGGCCACTCATGTCCTTATTTGACACCTTACACCTACTATACGAGATATACAACCACTATAGAAGCACCCCCGGCGGTGATAGCATAATTCGCCGAATTTACCGTGCTATACGAGAGGTAGTAGTGGTACGACTTTACCGACATCTAAGGAGCGAGCAGGTTGACCAGAGAAACATAGAAGGTGCTCCGCCGACTGCAACCCTACTCTCCCGCTTCGAGAAAACTGTTTATAATACTCGGATCAGACACCTGTTCTCCATTGTGTTGATATTGCAGTATGTGAAGCTTTGTGGCTTCTACGGCATTCCCGTATCGTTCTCTCTGGCAACTGTATATTTTGTTTCATGGATCATTATGGAAATGATACTGCTAGTTGGTGAAGGGGGTGCCGCAATGGATCCTGGAGGGGTGGATCACTCAACGGCAGATTCGAGTTTGCCGATTATTTCAAATTTTGGCGGGACTATAGTCTTTTTACTTCAGCTCATGATGGCCCTCATCGGGGCGGCGATATTTCTTGTTGTTAGATCCGGCTTTTGTGGATTCTTGCTCAAACGCCCGGAAAGGTTATCAATTCTCTCTTTTCGCTGTGCCATATATCTGGGGTTTTGAGTTTCACCCCAATGTTGGTTGGGGCACATGTTTCTCCTTTACTTTGTCTCTCGTAGGACTGTGGGACGGGTCTTATGGCATTGTACTTCGGGAATAACCTTCGGTATCTATTGCACATCCGAGGCCATTTTCTACCCTTTCTCTATCCCCGGTACCCTGCTGCCTCGGATCGTGGAACTTGGTGCTCCATACTTTAATTATTTGGTGTTTTTCTATGCTTCCCGTTTACCTTGGCCTGGGGGGGAAGGGGGGGAGGGGCGGCTCCTCGTCCGGGGGCTGCCTGGGCAGGGGCTGGGTTTCGGCAGTTCGGCTTTCACATACGCTGGCGAATTGCTCTTATTTTACATTTTTCTTTTCGACCCACAGGGTACAAGGAAAGCCTATTGGACAGAATATTTACCATGATGTGTGGAGGAGTGTAGAATAGGCCAGGTGTTGACCAGCACCTGTAACAGCAAGCGATATTAGAGGTTGTGGGTTGATGGTTCAATATTTATGGGTGATTCTGGGAGTTTCGGGGAGGTTATAGCTCGTTTAGGAGTGTAGCAGACTGTTCTAGCTTACTGATTTCCAGAGCTGGAGAATATTCTCCAGGCATGTCTTTCCTTTGAAATTCCGGGAGTGTGCGGCAGAATGGGGACATGGGTGGAGAAACAGAGATAAGTGTGGGGATCCATGGAAGGATCAGGGTGCGTTGATTATAGTTTGCTCATATGCCTGTCTTTACCAATAATTTACAGGAGAGGTGGCGACGTGGGAGAAGAGAAGAGCAAAATCTTTTACCATCCATATGTTTCCTAGACAGTGTCTAAGTTCTCAGCGAATCCTCAAATTCTACCGTCAGCCGCTGCGCTATCTGTCTCCCACCTGAGCCGACTTTAACCCGCAAGTCAAAGGGTTACACGAGAGAGTTTCTTTATGATACGGTAAAGCACGGTACTCGGGTACCAGTATGGCAGGTGTCCTATCCGTGCGCATGCCATGGGAGCCCTTGAGTTGACAACATTACTTTAAGTACCGTGCTCGAGTACCAGTACCTACAGTAGGGCTGTGCTTTCGGAAAAGCTTGGCATACAAGTGGCGTTGTTCCTGCCCTCATTTTTGCTTGAGCCCTCCACTGGTACCATATGATACTAGACTGGTAGTCTATCTGGGGGGTTTCCCTCCTCATTATCACATAAAAGCATAATACTCACCATGAGCTGTCTTTTATAACTGCATTGATGGAGATGAGATGATTCCAAGATCTGAGCTTAATTTATCCGAAATCCCCTCTACTTATATAGAGGTTACTCGTTATAAGGGATGCCAAGAGTTGAGGATTCTTCATTCATAATGGCGAGGCTTTGGACGAAATTTCTTATAGCGTAGTCCATTTGTGTGGGAGCGTAACAGCGAGGTTTCGGTATAAATAATTTTGCTATCATGAGGAGTCATTGTACCCTAAAATATCGAATAATTGAACCATGTGCTGTGCCGTTGGAGACTTGGAGATGCCTCCTCTGGTAAGGTCTTGTGTTTTTCCATATTTTTTTATGGCTTTCGGAGTGGCTGAGTAGTCCTGTTTTTCGCAGTATTTTTTCCCCCTTTTCCGAAGCAGGGGATTCTCGACTACATAACACACGGTTCAATTATTCGAGATTCTACGGTATTCCATGCTCTTGGCCCAGCAGGGTAGTCTAACCGGGCCACCTGGGTTAAGAAAGCGGAGCAACTGCATGTCTCATATTCGTTCGTCGTATGAACCTCTCCCTGTGCCTTGTGCTCAGCCACGATGGGAGCAATATAATCTTCCAATTTCTCCTCTAATAGGTAGCCTTATTGTATAATACTGGAGAAAACGTCGCTATGCGGGTACGATTTACAATTCCTAGCGCAAAATAACTCTGCTCTCCACCTGTTTCTATCCACCTTGAAGTCCTCCGGCGGGCGGCTCAGTCAAAGACTTACTGCTGATGCCACCCACAATCTGGCAAATTCACATTCGAGCCATCCTCATAGATGGTTTTCTCTTATCAACTCCTGTTTCCTCCAAACCCGCGGGTTCGATTACGTTCCCGGCACTGGCGCATTCCACTGCCGCTAACGCGACTGGAGCCATTTCTGCTGCCTCTACACTGCATGGTGCTCCGCTGTCATCAAAGGTCGGGAATGCGGCCTCAGAGATTAACGGCATGAACATTTTATGGATCATAATGCCATTGATCTTGACATGCATGATCCATCCGATCGGCTCTGCCTGTGGCTTCCGCCCAGCCTATCGTCATCAAGTTCGGATTGGGCCACTCATGTCCCTATTTGACACCTTACATATACTGTACGAGATACACAGCAACTACGCAAGCGCCCTGGGTGGTGGTAGCATAACTCGCCGAATTTGCCGTGCTATACACGAGGTAGTAGCGGTACGACTTTACCGACATTTAAGGAACGAAGAGGTTGACCATAGCAACCTAGAAGGTGCTTCGCCGACTGCAACCCTACTCTGTCGCTTCGAGAAAACTGTTTATAATACCTCGAGCAGACACATATTCTCCATCATGTTGATATTGCAGTACGTGAAGCTTTGTGGCTTCTATGGCGTTCCCGTATCATTCTCTCTGGCGGCCGTATATTTTGTTTCGTGGATCATTATAGAAATGATACTGCTAGTCGGTGAGGGCGGTTCTGTAATAGATCCCGGAGGTGTAGATCCTCCAAGGGCAGATTCGAGTTCGCCGATTGTTTTGGGATCAGCCGGGACTGTGGTATTCTTACTCCAGGTCATACCCGATCAATCCCAAACCACTGAATTTCCCCGAGCCCAAACCAGAGGCCTGGCCCCCAGATGTAAATCCAGAAGATATAAAAGCCCCACATCTCCCACAACCGACGGGAACCTGTGTTAAGTCTGCAAAACCAACAGCCTTGACTAGAACAATCCCCCCCGCACACAAACTTGCCTCACATTCCCTTCACACCTTGAGCTCCAACGCCCCTCCATCATGTTCCCCCCCCCCGGTCGCGGTAACGACTGCCTAGCAGTCGGCGACAAATTTGTGATCAGCCTGTTCGGCACCAGCATGGTGTTCACAGCCGAAGGAAACTGTGTCCGTCTCAGGGAATACGAGAAGGGCAAGATGAGGCAAATCTGGGTCTGCCAAATGAACCCGGAAGGTCGATACGGTATGCGGAACGCAGCCACCGGGTGTTTTCTTGGCTGGGTGGATGGCAGGGAGTTGTTTTGCGCCATGGCACATCACTACGGGTGCACGTGGCTTACCTTCACGCGGCTTAGGCTCGGCGGGTATTCTTTAATGGTCCCTAGTCCCGAAGGTCCATTTGGCACGAGGCTCGACCCGGTTCAGCGCAGCGGCCCCGGAAGCAGCAGTCTGAGCTCAAATAGTGGGACAGCATATCACCGGTTCGGCCTGCACTGTCTCAAGGACTCGGTGTTCAGGCGGTTTGAGTGGGTGGTACCTGATCGTCTAGCGCGCTCATCCGCACCATACTACGATGGTGAGGATTCGGACGAGAGCATTAATGAAACCTCAATTGAGTTCCTTGCCAACCATGGCATACAGAACATCATCAGCATGAACTCTGTAGAGATATCAGCGCGGGAGAGAGGAAAGCTTCGCGCCGCCGGCATCTCGTATTCGCACATAAGGGCTCTCGAGTTTACCGCACCCACACAAGAGCAATTCGATCAGATATGGAACGCCTATGAGGAAGCGGGGGTTACCGTAGTTTACTGTGGATATGGGGATGGGAGGACCGGGATGGCTATCAGCGCAATTCAGCTCTTCGAGGGCCGTGTTCTGACCGACCTGGATTACAGGGCGAACGGCGTGCAGTGCCCCTCCCAGATAGAGGCATTAAATGTGTTAAACGAGAGAATTCATAGGTGGGTATTTCTTCCGGACACTTCTTTCACACCTAGGCTGACCGCTGCTTCAAATAGTGTTGAAAACAACAGCGGCCCTTCCGACGCCCCGGATACCCGACCCCCACCATACACAGCACCTGAAAAGGACAAGCCATGGAATGCATGAGGATGGGACTACGGAGGTACAGCTCCTAAGTTTTGTATGTTCCACAGGGGCTAAGGTCAGCAAACTTCACTTGTTGGGCATACAAAACTTAGGCGCTGTACCTGCGGATGTAAGGATGGTACAGGAGGGGGGGGGGGTATGGACGGTCCCCGGCAGTGCCCTAATTGGTTAATAGGATGAAGGCACGGTGCAATGATTGCAAGGTCTATACCGGAGAAACAGTTAGATGAATATAGGGTAGGGACAGTAGAGTCCGACAATAGTCGGGGAATAAGTTGGTCGAGCACGGAGTAGATTTTTGTCCATAGTCCGCTACGGAATGCCAATATTTCAGATGCTCTAGCATACCCTAATCTTCCTTTCCCTAACCCGACCTCTTCCCCCATAAATTGTCCAAAGAGCCCCTCCTAAAAAAAATGTTATTGCGCACCTTTTCATGAACGTTTCTTGGTTCCCTTTCCCCAGTGAAGCTAGAGGTTCGCATGCTAATCCAAGCTAGGATTATAGTATGATAACAGTATCTTCAAACCTTTCGCCAATAGTTTCCACAGTATCACACCAGAAGGTGATACTTTATAACCCATCAAATACCCATTTGATTTCCGATACCCTCGGCTCCTTGTGAGACACACTGGGGTTTGGGATTGCCCAGTTGCCTGTTCCCACTTTACAAGATCCCTAGAGATCCGAAAGCAGTTGGTCTCAAAGGCTCCTTCCTCACTTGGCAGTCCTGCAAGTATCTGGAAACCCTGGCGTTTTTATAGCCGTAATTTGCACCGAGATTTCCGGATACCATACTTGTTGAATTGTCAAGTGTCCGGCACCGGGGACTGACCGCTGGGATGGCAACGGCGCTTTGAATATCATTCCTTCCACCTTCTACTCGTACCGGACTGTGCCATTTGACGACTATCAAAGGCCCCCGGTGCGCTTCTACGTCTGGACATCAAGTTGGGTCATGTGTTTCCTCCAGCTGTTGGTCATAAGACAGGAGCGGTTGAAAACGATGCTAGAGTGGAAATATTTTGTCTGTACATAACCTCTATCCTGTACCAATGGAGGCATTACAAAATACAACCCATTACACCTTGTTACAGTACGGGTTTTAGGCACCTTGCGGCGTAGTGGAAGGAAGAAAAGAAAGCCATCGGAGCTCTTTCGATCGTATCTCCGGGCGATGTCTCCACCCAGCTCGGACATCACACAACAGAAATATGGATGACCTGCACTCGAGGTGGTATCATAAAGAAAGGCTCTCGTGTAACCCCTTTACTTGAGGGTTAAAGTCGGTTCAGGTAGGAGACGGATAGCGAAGCTGTTGACGGTAGAATTCAACGATTCGCTGAGAAAACTGACGGTAAAGATAGGTGTATGAGTAAAGGATAATCAACGCATTCTAGTCCTTCCATGGATCCCCACACTTACCCCCGCTTCTCCATCCATGTCCCCATTCCCCCACAAACTCCCGTGATAACAAAGGAACGACACACCTGGAGAATATTCTCCGGCTCCGTCAATCAGTAAGCTAGAACAATCCGCGACATTCCTAAACAACCACAATGCCCTCACAACTCCTATAATCACCCATAACCTTGAACCATCAACCCGCAACCTCTAACATCGCTTGCTGTTACAGGTGCTGATCACGCCCAGCCTATTCTACACCCCTCCACACATCACGGCAGATATTCTGTCCAATTGGCTTTCCATGTACCCTCTGGGTGGAAAAGAAAAATATAAAACAAGAGCAATCCTCCAGCGTATGTGAAAGCCGAACTGCTGGAAACCAACCCCCGCCCGGGCAGCCCCTTCAAGCGCAACCCCTCCTCTCCTCTCCCGCCAGGCCAATGCAAACGGGAAGCATAGAAAAATGTCAAATAATTAAGATGAGAAGCACCAAATCCCACCATCCAAGACAGCAGAATCCCGGGGGGGGAGGAAATGCAGAAAGCGGCCACGAATATGCAACAAGAGACCAGAAATTATTTCCAAAATACAGTGCTATATGACTCGCCCTACAGCCCCACGGATGACGAAGTAAAAGGCAAACATGCGCCCTATCCAATATTGGGGCAGAAGAAAAACACCCAGACGTGTGACACAGCGAAAGAAGGGAAGTGATAACGCCTTCGAGTGTTCGAGCATCGTTCCACAAAATTTTTCTCTATCAGGAAATATAAATTGTCCCAATGTAGATCGTGATGATATTGCGCATGACTGCTCGAGTACTGGTATGTAGTGGGGTGTGTGGGAAAATATTTGGGAACGGTACGTATCGGTTCAAGGTTGAAAACCGATGGAAACGAAAAGTGCGGGAGCCGACACAGGTCCGGTTGAAGAACCGCCAAGGCAGCCATCAAGTGCTCAACGAATAGCACCCGGTAGTGTTAAAGGAGATATTAGGAAACCGTTAATCTGGCACCTTTTCGCGGCGGGTGGTGCGCGAATTCGGGGTTGGGGATGGGTATGATACCAGTACCTGTATGTGTTTAAAGTGTCCCACCAGTGTGATAGCACAAGTAGCGGTGCTTAGCCACTCACATACCATATTTCTAGTCGTCGCTTTTTACCCGGTATGATTTTCACACGCGTAGGGCAGTCATTCGGTACCGTTTCACGCTCGGTGATTACAGCCCCATCGAAAGCGGAGTTTCCCTGTCTCCAGCGATTTCTGGGAACCGAATTGCGGGGACCACGGCCTGCCGGCTCCCCACCTTTCTATGATATCGCCCCTGTTTCCCGATACCGTGAGCTTCGACTGCGCCTTCTGGTCTCGGGCTAAACCTATCTGGAGGGAAAGCTTTTAGCAATTTGCGCACTACACTAAGTTACTGGGCACCCCAGGGCTCGGCCCGTAGGTCGGGGTGTCACGGATTCTCTTGCTGGGCAAACGGTAGTGTTTGACCCTCACCCACATCTCAACGGGCAGCGGTTACGGCAATATATTTCGCATGGACAGGGTTGTCGCGGGTTCATAATAGAGATTCCTCAATTTGGGCCGTGAGATCTCTCTAATGGGGGACTCACGGCCGAGGCTACATACCGAAAAGCCAGTGCAATGACAAGCCGGCCATTGGCAATGATGAAGCGTCAGGAATGTAATGCAGGGGAAATCCGGTATTTTATGCGGAACCCGGGCTTATTTACAGCCCAGGTGAAGTACGGGCAGTAACCTAATCCTGGAAGGGAGGCGAAAATAACGCTGCCCGAGGAAACTCCAAGACCAGCCCGGAGCTATGCATGCCCGCCGAGGAGGCACGACGGCGGTATGGTCAATACGGCACCTGCCCCTACCCTCAATGCAACCGCACATCCTAAATTACCGACACAAGCGCTGTTTCCGGTGCGTCACCTGCACGGATATACTGTTCCGCTTTTCCTCCGGGGAAATATATTGTATAATACCGTTCCCCCACTACCTCCTAGACTACTGAGCAGTACTTCCAGTCGTTCAGTCCGTCCAGGATGGGGTGAAACCCACTCAGCATTCCTGAGCGATGGTGGGTGTAGGTTACGATCATTCGCTCAATATTAAGCCATGGTCTAAATTTAGTCTACACACCTGCGAATTTATAGTAATTAACAAAGTTTGCTTATTAATTCGTGCTCCAGACACTTAGGGGTGGCACAAAATTTCTACAAGTCTGCAAGAACAGCGCGGCTTCCAGCTATCGAAGGTGAAGAAGAACGCGGCTAGCTGTACGAAACGTATACTTTCCGAGACCGAAGGAATCAAAAATGGAATAGCAATGAATGCTAAGAGACGGGTGGCGGAGCGATAGCAAGCCACTAACTTACCGGTGATAAAGGTGGTGGGCCTGAAAGTGCAAGGGTCACGAATAAATAAGGTGATGACACCCTGCATAACTAAGATTTTATCGGCTGGGGTACTGTACGAGTACCGTACAGTACACACGAGGCCATCAAGGACTTCCTATTCCCCTTCTCTCAGTCAACTTTGAATAAATACAACCGATGGATTACCGGTAAATGCCTGGCCGCTGGTTCGATAAATCTATTACAAAAGGAACCTCCTCGGCTTTTGTTGAGTATTGGAAGGCACCCGTTTTCTGATCCGCTGGAAAAGGGGAATTTTGACCAAAACTTGCATCAACATCCTTGCTTCCGGTTACTTTCTATGCTTGATAACATGTATCTAGGATATTAATCCTTCCAAACTTCGAGTTCCTAAGGCACAATAGATAGGTGTAGAGGTAAGATACTCCAACCGACAGTGCAATGTGCTCCGAACACATCTTAAATTCCGGCTTTCCATCGCTCCTTTATAGGCAAAAGTTTCTTCTCCTCCGGCATCTCCGTGCTCCACCGACTCCTTCTCCCGACTACTACCATGTTTGGCCACCTCATGCATTTACCGCTGCCTGCCCCTGATCGCGATTATGGTTTATATCGCGCAATTCGTCCACCGTCCTATAAGCCAATTAGGATACACACGCAGATTATTCATATGCACTCCCCCTGACCCTACCAGTCTCGCATAACTCCATGGTGACGCATCCTATCACTTATCCTTTTTAGGTGCTGTATATGGTGGGGGTTGGATGTCGGTGGTGTCGGGTGAGTCGTTGTGGTGTTCGACACTAATTAGAGCAAAGGTCAGGCCAGGCAATGAGATTCTGTCTGGAAGAGAGACTCACCCCTGAATTCTCTCGCTTAACGCATTTAATGCTTCTACGTGATCGCGGCACTGCACACCGTTCGCCCTGAAATCAAGGTCGCTCAGAGTACGACCCTCGAAGATCTGAATTGCGCTGATAGCCATCCCAGTCCTCCCATCCCCATATCCGCAGTAGACGATCGTAGCCCCCGCTCTTTTCTCATAGGCATTCCAGATCTGATCAAATTGCTCTTGAGTGGGTGCGGTGCACTCCAGCGCCGTGATGTGCGAGTATGAGATCTTGGCGGCACGAAGCCTGCCCTTCTCCCGCGGCGATATCTCTACAGAATTCAAGCTGATGATGTTCTTTATACCATGACTGACAAGGAACCCAATGGAGGTCTCATTAATGCTCTCATCGGAATCCTCGCCATCATAGTACGGCGCGGATGAGCGCGCTAGACGGTCCGGCGCCACCCACTCAAACCTCCTCAACACCGAGTCCTGAAGCTGGTGCAGTCCGAACTGATGGGCAGCGGTCCCAATCATCAAGCCCGTACTCGTGTTGTCCCTCCGCTGAACCGGGGAGAGCTTATCACCTGTAGCAGCGCCAATCACCCTCAATGAGTACCCGCCTAGGCTAAGCCGCGTAAAGTTAAGCCACTCCCAGGGGCCATGTGCGGTCGCGAAACACGCAACCTTATTCTCCTTGTGACCCCGGCCGAGCAAACGCCCGGTCGCCGAGTTTCGCATACCGAATCGACCGTTAGAGTTCATTTCGCAGACCCATATTTGGCTCCCCTTATCCTTCTCATATTCTCGGAGATGAACATCTTTCCCTTCTGCTGTCAATACCTCGCTAGTACCGAACAGGCTAATCACGAATTTTTGGCCCACGTCCAGGTTGTCATTACCGCGGCCGGGAGGGGACATGATGCAGAGGTGTTAGAGTAGAGTAGTATGAACAGAGGAAGAAGGTGAGGGGGGTACTGGGTGTGTGAGCCGATTGTTGTAGCTTTTGGAGATTCAGCACAAGTTCCTGTTGGTACGGTACGGTAGTGGGAGCAGTAGGGTTCTTATATATTTCGGGGCTAAAGCTTGCAGTTGCACCTGATTAATCGCGCATGGCAAGGTGTGTTGCGGGGTATTGGGCACCGTATTCAGGAGCGATACAGTACCATACCTGTACTGTGGTCTACCGGTACGGGTCGCTTAGTAGTCTAGCAGAAACAAGTTTAAACACAGAAGGGGGTCAGCCGACCCAACCTAAGCCAACCAAACCGCATGAACTGCCAAGGCAGTCATCTGTGCCACCACACCGGCACCCGCACAGTACAGTGAAACCTCCGTTGTCTCCAGGACGTGGGGAGACTGGATTCCCTGGAAGTAGAGGGGGAATGGAAAATAGAGGAAAGGCTTGGCAGAATAGAGGGGGGTGCTGAGAGAAAAATGAGTGATAGTTCATGAAAGCATACAGGGTTTAACTCCATATGTTTACATTCCGGAAAAATAATACACCCCTCCCGTCTGATGACCCTTCATTCCAAAAACACGCATATCCATTCAACTCACTATCTAGTTATCTGGCAATTTGTCTACAGCTTTGCCTGGGAGGTGACATGAAAAATAATTTTATGCACATGAAACCTGGAATTTAGGAGCCATTTACCGCCCAGAAAGAGGAACGAATAGAACCCTAGAACTTAGAGGAGGAAAGCCCATAGAACGAAACCTGTCCCTGACAAGTGATAGAAATACCGGAGACCTGGAAACATCGGAGGGTGGAGTTATCGGAGGTTTCACTGTACTCGTACAATACCCGAGTACCCAATGAAATAACTCCCGGGAGTGCAGTGCTTCCAGTCGTTTAGTCCGTCTAGGGCGGGGCGAGGACGAGGGGGAAAAGCCATCGGACGGCAATTGGGTAGCGGCGGATAGGCAGCTAATCAGACTTGCCCAAACCCTCTTCAGGGAATGATGCCGGTATCGGAGGTATGAAAGAATAGCAACTCTGTTCGTCATCCCTTCTATAAGTACCTAATGACAATAATAGGTGTATAGGTAAAACACCAACAAAACTATGAAATCCTTTCCTGAATCGCTACATTCATCTCTGTGATTCCACACGTGCCCAAATTCCTCCATGCAATTCTGCGACAACAGAGGAAAGACATGGCCATAGAATCTTCTCACACAAAATCATTCAAACTCTCGACCATTCAGAATATCCCACCACACTCCGCTATCTTCCGAGCTAACCCATAGACAACCACAACTTAATAATGTTTAGTCTCATTATTATGGCTATCCTCATCTGGCTGGGCAGTGGCTGGGTAGACGCACATACGGTAGGCAGGCCCGGGAATGGGAACTCTTATCATGATATCCGACTCAAATCTCGTGGGATCGGGGCTGCTCACCTACCTACTCGAGTACCGGTACAAGTACATCACCCCATGTCTCACTCGCCTCTTTTCTTAAATAATTTCTACATACGTAGTGAATTTTCCGTTACCTGTTTCACTCCCACCTGCACTGGCAATCCTATTGACGATACCGGTAGGTTTCCCGGGTTTCCCATTATCCTCTGGTGATTAAACCGCAGGAGTCGAGGTCTGCTGATTCTTCACCTCTCCATAGTCCCGTTTCTTGACATCACAGGTTTTTGGGTCCGGAGGTTGTAGATTCTCTTGGTGGGCGGGGACAGTACAATATTTGACCCTAGACTCTCCCTGCGAAGGACACTGTTGGCCACAAATTATTCATAGGTCAGCGAGCTCCCTGTCCCAAATCCTCATCTTGCCCCCGCACGCCGAGTTGCGATCCCTTAATTCAGTTTGCTACCCCCCCCCCAAACCCCGAACTTGCTCTTTGTAGGAATGGAGACCACCGAAAACCATGTATCATGCTAAGCGTGCTGTTAACAGATAGGGGATCAATATTTCCAGGAAAAGGGACCTGGTATTTTCTTGGAATCGCTTGCTTTCAGCATGGACAGTTAAAGCGATCGAGTTGCACACAATGGCTTGAAGAAGCGTATCTATTTTCCACTCTCCCCCGTCCGAGTTCCTACCTACCTCACTCTCATTACCACACCAGGAAACACGCGACTGTGGTGTCGGGTCCGGGGTCGTGGTGATACCAAACTTAATCGCATGACCCGATTGTGTCATCAAATATCACTCGGACATTGTGACAAATTCTGCCACCCACAAGTGTGTGAAGTATTAGTGGTCAGGAAAGGGGAAGATAATGGTACCTGAGGGGAACCTAAGATTAACAGGGGCTAGACGTGTTTGGGCGATGGTAAGGTGACCTTAAGTTCGTTGTCGGGTTTACAGTATCCCTTCAAATCTAATTTTGAATAAAGGTTAATGGTTGCCTTGTCTACGTGTGACTTGCACATCTTTACCTTGTTGAAATGGAAATGCACCACAGCCTTAGACATAGCATGGGGGGTGCGCCCCTTATCTGAGTGGGTATCCGGAAGAGTCTGGGTTTCCATTACCTTTTCTCCCTCCGTCGTACATAGTACAGTTCTTTGTCGCCAAGCTAAATTTACCTGGAAACCGATGAGATTCACAAATTCCCCGAGTCTCTTGAACGCTTTTCAGATCCTCCCCCTACAGATGATATATGTGTCAACTGGATGGCCCCCAACTTTGGCCCCAAAGTAATAACAAGGCGCGATGAATAAAGCCATGAAAGGATTGGGAGGAGGGTTGCCGACCTCATACCCCTGCAGGTATAGTGGGCTATTTCGGGCAATGTAGCTAGAATGGGCATCACTCACTGCCCGGCGTACCATTCCTACTCTGCATAACTACTTCTACCCTCGGCTTCTTCTCACACATCCCGGGGGTCTTTGGGGCTGTCGCAGGGTTGTAGGGCAGTCCCGCTTTGTCGTACAGTATGCTCGGCCTGGGGGCCGAATAAGTGGTAGTGACCCTATCTAGCGCTGGGAGAGAGAAGGCATCACTAATATCCGCTGAGTAGCCCGTTACAAAGGCCTAGGGTCATCCGGTCAAGGATCTACGCGTGTGGGGGGTGTTGGTACGAGTAGATTGTCCGCGGTGGAGTCCCCCCTGTTTTTTCTGGACTCGCTTCCTCTGCCCAGCTTTCTCCACTTACAGTACCGGTATTCCATTCCGCCACTTATACCATCCAGGCATCGCCCAACGGATCCGCTGCTGCGCCTACGGTGAATATTTATTCCTTTCTCGCTCGGCCCGGTCACTGGTTCTACCGACCCCTGATCATGATGAAATAAGACTTATGCTTTTCGTTTGACGTTCCTTACACCTCTTTTCCGCATCTCCTATATGTAGGACTTGGTTTTCTCAGTTCCGTAAACTTTCAATTCAATTCTCATTGCCGAGAGCTGCTCTCTACCTACTTCTCGATTTGATTTAAGCGGAATACCCGATTGCGTTGGGGTGGGGGGGCGGGGATATTTAGTAAGAGGAGCTAGATTTTGGTGTAAAGCACCCCCCATGGCCAAGTTTTTGCCCTACTACATTGCACTGACAGCGCGACTTATGTTTCAAGAGTTGAATATTCCGCAATAGTTAAGGACCTGTTTGGATACCATCATTCTGTTCCGTTTTCCCATACAAAATGATCGTTGCGCAAGGGAACTGTAGCAGTATTTGTATATGAAAACAGAACGGAACGGTCGCTCCCAAACAGAACTCGACTGACCCGATCTTAGCAATTCGTGAAGCCGGCCGAACTCAGCAATAAGTTCTTATATCCATCGATATCACTCGGTCCTCCAAAGGCTAGGACTTGTTGAAATTGGGCTTTCAGATATGTCCTTGCTACGTCTTAGAGTATGACATTGCTGGTCATTCTCCCTTAGTATCGGCTTGCTGGTAGTTCCTGAGTTTGACTTATCCCACTTGGGTTTTTCCTTATATCATCATTACTCAATCTGTCCTGCAGATATGAAACGGTGTTCTCATCTACTTCTCTTGCCTTCTATGTTGTTTTCTTTTCTTCTTCTCCGCTGCTGATATATGTTGCTGCTTTACAGCATAAATAGTGGGTCCTCTCCCGGACCTGGTGTAGTATTCTCTTTTGATAACAACAATCTGAACTTCTCGCTCTCATCTGTCTTCGGTATATGCCTTGATCGTTGCACCTATTTTCAACAGGACTTATGAATCAACAACGGACACAACCCCTCCGCGAACCGTAGAGCAAGCCCATGAAATGGACTGGTGCTGTAGCAGTGTGCTATCATGGCGGGCCAAAACCCAGGAATCTGTTCAGTAATCCGGGTGTGCAAGAAGTAGACAGCATCGAGTGATGAATGGATGGTGAAAGGGTCGGGGCTGGCTGTGTCAGGCGTAAATTTTCTAAAGACGAAGGGAATATACACTGTCCCGATACCGGACGCTCCCCCGAAGCCCCTGCTACGGCCCAGCCACATCCCCGACCAACTTCCGATAGTTGAACCGATTTTTCTTTCGGTCGGAGAGCTACCGGAATGAGTAATTGCTCGATTCTCTCACCACTGGTCCTCCACCCTGGTAGCGGATAACGAGTGGGGGACTTGAAACTAGTGGGGCTTGAACTGAACAACCTCGGAAACCGTGATACGGAAATAATCGATTTTCCCTACGGAAAGTGTGTAGCAGCTGCTGGTGTGGATTTTGATACCTCCCAACGGCGGGGTCTTCAAACCAGGTTGCCCACGAAATCATTGCTCATCCCTCCCTCCCTCCTTACTCAGCCTCTAGTCCGAACGTCTAATAAGGAGAAAACCCTACTGTACACGATACTAGCGAATCCCGGACCCCTCCCTGTAGAATACCAGCCAAAAGCCACGCTTTCACTCACGGCCAAGCAAATAATATACTTCAAACTTCCAAGCCGGAAAGTGCAAACTTTGGAAGGGGGGTCGGAAAAAAATTAACCCGAACTGGGGGTGTGTATTTATTTCAAAATTTCTAGAGACATATGACTCGCAGAAAAAAAAAAATACATTTTTTCACATAAAAAAGGGGTTCTTATTGTGCCGGACTAGGTACTGTACTGTACTGTACTGTACTGTACTTGTGTTATAAAACATAAGAAGGATCGTCCCCCATTACCGCATTCAAATGATTTTATTCGGCATCGTAGTTAAACTTCGTACAAGGCGACCGGCACATCCCCTACCGTTGTTCGAGCAGCGGCAGAAAGGGCGGAGACCTTGACTGTATTCCATAGTTAGATGGGGGCGGATCTAATTTAAGAAAGGGCTGGTTATCGATTGTGATACTTGTAAAAAGGGTTTGACACCAACCCGACCAAAGGATACTACCGTACATACCGTAACTTGCTCATCACAGCCCACAACTTCTCCCCACCAAGCTAGCGAAATTGAATTTTTGGGAAAGATGGAAAGAGAAAATAATGAGCGGAATCGGGCAATCCCACAGAATAAAAGTATTGTATGGCACAGTAAATTTCCCGGGGAGCTAAAGTTCCTGAGCTTAAGTTATTTCCTGCACCTTGGCATGATCACCCGAACATCATGAGGAAACAGAACGGACACCTATCTGAAGACTTCATTCAACCTCTCAACAGATGACTACCAGAGCGAACAAAAAAAAAAAAAGATTTGGAAATAAAATAAACACAATTAGAATTGAATACGTTGTGCAGTACCAGCCATCGGCCTCAATAGTTTTGCGCCTGATTTTGTCTTCTGGTAGAGGTATTTGTTCGGTTAATAATGCTATCATACCGTACGATCTTTCTTTCTTTCTTCATTTTTCAGCGCTTGCTCCTTGCGCAATCCCGGTTGCTCAGGGCACTGAGTACAAGTACAAGTATGATACTGTTGTGAGAGTTTCGCCTTGAGGAAACCAGGTGTGCTGCACAAGTGCAGTATTACGGAGTGCGCGTGTGGTACTTTCCAGATGTATCATACCGGGGGATAGGGAGGTTGGGGTAGGCTTACCTCTGGGACGTGATGCCACAGGGTGTTCATGCCGGTTCAGTGGTCGTGCTATAGCTGTAATAAACTATATTGGCTCCGCACAAACATTGCCGCCGCGCCCGTCTATTGCCCCAAAACCATTTCCCGCGATAAAAGCCACAAGGGAACAAGACCCAATCCGATCTTATATTGTCTTCAGCTCTCCCGTGGCTAGTCGCTGGTAGCTCACGAAATGCGATTCAAGTTGATCGAAGATCACTGGTACCGACAAATAATAATTGGGAGAGGAGATATTTATTTATTCTACAGTAGCTAGTGATGGCTGTGATACAATTGTCGATATCAGGATGCTACTATTACGGATGTACAGAAGCATTTGAGTGAATAACCCTCCGCAAGGATCGACCGCCCAACCACGCCAATCTCCCAAACCTGCTACAAGCCTTCGTGGTATCGCCAATCTAATTGTGCTTCGCTCTGGTGAGGCAAGGCAAATTAGAGTCAATCCCGAAACACACCCCGAGGCAGCTCGCTACCTTTACCACTGACCGTGCTACGCCAGTTCCCTTAATCGAGCCGCCACCTCCAATTCCAGCCTCTCCTTCGCACAGGGCCCTTGGCGGATCTCTTCTATCATGTCCATCCCCGGGGGGAAGTCACTCTCAAAGACTGGCTCTCCGGCTCCTCTCATGTTCGCAAGTACAGACTGTCGAAAATGCCAGCGTAAAAGCTCATCCGAAACATGATGCGCATCAGCTGGATTGCGGCAAACCGGGTCTAGAATTCTGCCATCCATACCGTCCATGTCGGGATTAAACACAGTAACCTTATAACCGTCCTACCGGAAGTAATCAGCATTACACAAGAACAGTAAACTAACGCGGAGAACCCACATCCGGATTCACCGATATTAGGTACTGATCAAATAGGGCGTGGATGTGTTGACGAAGCATAAGCCCATTTTGGCACGAGTTGATCTTCGAGACACCAATAGTGTCATCCATGTCCGGGATCCACCGCCCAAAGCCCCGCTCGAGCCAGAGATTCTCTGCCTCCAGCGGGAAAACATGTGCTGCTTCGAAACTCGTCCACTGATCTGGAGCAGTCAGATTTATCACACCTGAGATCACGCATCTTCCGTCTCGAGCTCGAATTCCATCGCGAAAGGCGTTCGACCGACCAGACACATTGAACGAGTTGATTCGATGTATCCATTCCTCATTGTTCAATTGTATAGCACCTGCAACCGAGTTAGTTGATACCTCTGCATTGGCAGGATCACGTGCTTGCTCTCGCAAAAAATATCATATGTTCCAATTGGTAGAGGGTTGTTGGTGATAGATACGGTGTTGCCTGAAGTTCGATGTCGAACACTTATTGGAGCTAGGATGATAAGGAGTATGTCGAGCATACGAAGGAAATTCGCTTCTGTAACCGATCCATTCTGGATCAATCCGCCAAGGGCATCACCATCAGGTTTGGTAGCATCATAAAAGTGTACGTTCCGACGGGATGAACGGTGCGAGCTCATGCTGTAGAAAGCCCGACTTTTGCAGTGAGTATATGATCCAAGTTGTATGCGTTAGTGGGTGGGCAACGGATTTACTCATGCGACGAGTGTGGGGGGGGGGGGATGTAAGAACAAACAAAGACGAAAAAATGAATAGCGGAATGAGAAGGGAAAGGTGGAACAGAGTACCGGTAAAGCGGAAGATTGAAGGGAAGGGCGGTTTAGCTTGGGGGACTTTCTCGTGAATAACTACTCGTACAGTACCTAATCGGTGCTTGGCAAACTGATGAACTCGAGGATAGATGGGAAAAATCTGAGGCGGGGCTGGTGTTGATCGTGATAAAAGGGTTGTCACCGACCCGACATAGGATCTGATACTAACGTACTCATCAGAGCCCACAACCTTTCGCTACCAAGTTAGCGAATCGAGTTTTTGGGAGAGATGGAAAGATGGAATGAGCGGAATTGGACAATTCCACTGACAAAAGTATTGTATGGCACAGTAAACTTCCCGGGGAGCTCCGAAAGGGGGACCTCAAAGTTCCCTAACTTGAGCTATTTCTTGTACAGTACTGTACGGTATAATACTTGGCATAATTAACCGAACATCACGATGCAACATGACGGATATCTGTCGTCTGAAGGCTCAACCACTCAATATATGACTGCCGAAACAACAAAAAAAATATTTGAAAATAAACTGAATACGCGTAATTAGGACCAATACTTTGGAATTTAGCCGTCCGTTTTAATAGTTGCCTCAACTCTGTCTTTTGGTGGAGGTATGGTGGGTTCAGATGTGGAAGGGAGGGAAGGGCGTGATGTTGAATGATGGAGCGTTGTGGAACACGCCAAATGTTCAGTTAATTACGCTACCGTACGATCTTTTTTCTCAGAGCTTCCTTCTTGCGCGATCCCGATCGGCGAGAGCAGTAAGTACGGTTGTGAGAGTTTCGCCTTGAAGAAATCAGGTGTGCTGTATAAATTTACCCTCGAGCCCAGCGGTTTGCCAAAGCACTGATTGGGTAGAGGATTCCGAATAGGATAAAATAGAAAGGAAGCAGGTGACACCTTTCGCGCAGCGGGTCTTTATCAGAGACCTTTCTTAGCGCCTGTCCGGTCGCAGCGAGATATGGGGATTTTCAGAAGGCAACCTCCACTTTTCACCAAAAAATGACATGCCATCATAGAAATTAGTACGAGTAACAGTACGGTAGTTGCGGTCGGTCGTCAAATGTTTGGTTTCCTAAAATTGCCCATTTCATTGTCATATCATCAACAACCACAATGAGAAGGGAGGAGAAAAAGAAAAAAAGAAAAACCTGCTCTTGCCCGAACACCCGACGATATAATTCAAAGCATCCAACTTTTCCAGCAGTTCCTCGGGAGATGCGATTTTCCGCTCCTCACTGAGAATGCCATCTCGAATGAATTTATGGGTTGCAGCCCAATAGGCCCTGAGGGAGCTGCCACCTGCTCACTTCGATGGGTTTCCCCGAATATGCGGGTGTTTTGGGGGTTGGCGCACTTCAGCGACAGGTCCCACCCGAGTTCGACCGTATAAGTTATACGCGGACAAAATTCTGGAGTAACGGGGCGTGTCCATATGTTTAATGATAAAGCTGTCATAGCGGCAGGGTAGTCTTGGCGAGCTATCACAGCTATGATAAGCGATATCAATCCTCTCCCCGTGACGGAGGTGGTGGGCCTGAAAGTGTGAGGGTCTCGGGTGGCACCACTCAGAGCTGCTATTTTATCGATAGCGATAGATATGGACCCTGAGGGAATTTTCCTGCTTCCTCTTCGCTTGGAGAAAGGGGGGGAACCTCCCACTCATTTGTTGGGCGGGGGGGGGGGGCGGCCTGTTTTCGGAGCCGGCGGCAGCCTATTATACAACAAACTAATGTTCACCAACATCGATACCGATATTCTTGCTCATACGGTATTCCTTCCTAATTCTTGACGCTTGTATCTGGGATATTAATTCTCCAGGAGTTTCCTCCTCCTCCTCCTCCTCCCGACCGTCATCCGATTTCGCACCTCTACCAACTTCATGAATTCACCGCTGCCTCCCTATGATCGCCTTTCCGCTTCGTATTCGCCCAGTTCTTACACCATCCTATCACCCCATCGGGATACCCCGGTGTATCACCATATCACCATATCCACTTTCCCCGATCCTACCATCTTCGCACAGCTCCACCGCGATGCATCTTATCACTCCCCTCTCTCGGGTGCCACACATAGTCGGGGTTCGATATCGCGGGTGTCGGGTGGGTCGTCGTGCGTTTCGCTGCTATTTGAAGCAAGGGTCAGCATACCGGTGTGTAGGTGTCTCTGTTCCCTTCCGTGATTTGGATGGTGTGATTGACCCGGCACCTGCGCAGTTGTGTTGACTGTACGATGTGGTATTTATATCGGATAAGAGAGTAGAATTATGTTGATAAAAGTTGACAGGTAAAACACAGTGAGTAAGCAAGAGGGAAAAGGTGAGGAGACAAAGTTCCGAAACAACAATAAGGAAGGTGGTAAAGAAGGTTGTACAGGATGGGTCTCTCGTGCTCTGTTCCTCCTCTCTCTCTGAGGAAGGCAAGGCCGTGCCTCCAGGTGAAAGATTTCCACCTGCTAAGCCCCATCCCAAACAGAAAATTCCCTGGGTAAAAACCCGCAAAACATGACCAGAAAACCCCTAAAAACTTTATCCTGCCACACCGGCAGGCAGTGAGATTTTGTCTGGAGGAGGAGAGACTCGCCCATGAATTCTCTCGCTCAATGCATTTAATGCCTCTATCTGACCGCGGCACTGCGCTCCGTTCGCCCTGAAATCAAGTTCGCCCAGGGGCCGACCCTCGCAGAGCTGAATTGCGCTGATAGCCATCCCTGTTCTCCCATCCCCATACCCGCAGTAGACGATCGTAGCCAACGCCCCCTTATAGGCGTTCCAGATTTGATCGAATTGTTCTTGTGTGGGCGCGGTGCACTCCGGTACGATGATGTGCGAGTATGAGATCTTGGCGGCGCGAAGCCTGCCCTTCTCCCGCGGCGTTATCTCGACCGAGTTCAAACTGATGATGTTGTGTATGCCATGGTTGTGAAGGAACTCGATGGAGGTCTCGTTAATGCTCTCATCGGAATCCTCGCCGTCATAGTAGGGCGCGGAAGAGCGTGCGAGGCGGTCAGGGACCACCCACTCAAACCGTCTGAACACGGGGTTCTTGACCAGATGGAGGCCGAACTGAGTGCCGGCTTCCCCGATCGTTAAACGTTTATCGTCGCTGTCGATGCGTTGAAGCAGCCCAAGCCTCCTACCGCCGTCGTGCGGGCTCATCATCATTGAATACCCGCCTAGACCATGCCGCACGAAGGAAAAATACTCCCAAAGCCTGTGGTCACGTATCGAACATCTTGTCTTGTTTCCCTCCGCCCGGCCCAGAAAACACCCGGTGGATCTGTTCTTCATGCCATGCCAATGGTCCGAGTTTATGTGGAAGACCCACATCTGGTCCCAGTGACCCTCCTGATATTCCTTGAGGGAAAGCTCTCCCCCTTGACCCGTGAGCACTTGGTTCGTGCCGAACAGGCTGATGACATATATTTGGCCTACGACTGGTACGTCGTTGCCGCATCCGGGTGGGAACATGGGGAGGGGGTGCTGAGCGACAAGAGTCAAGAGGGGGATGTGGTGCGACTTTTTGTGTCTGGTATGTAGGATTGTGCTGATTAGTCGGGGCCGTGGGGTTTGGAGACCTGAGATGGGTTTGTGTGGGCCGAGGGCAGCATTGACGGTCGTTATATAGTCTACCGTTCCCGGACTCACACCCTGGGGTTGCACGCGCAGCCCAGGATTAGGATGATTCGCAGGATGGGGGTACGGTATAATACTGTAGGTAACTCATATTTGAAATGGCATTCTTAGTGAGAGGGAGAAAATCACATTTTTTTCTGAGGAATCACAAGAAGTCAGTTTTTTGTCTGGTCAGGTGTTCGGCAAGAGCAGGTTTCTCTTTTTTTTCTTTTCTTCTTCTCATTGTGGTTGTCGATGAGGGTTCCAAAAATTCTGCTCAGACCTTTTATTTTATTTCTTCATAATTACAGTCGCACCCCGCTATGGGATCTATTATACGGGAAAATTCGCTATTACGAACGAATCCTCTAAGAATTTACCCCCCCTGCTCCCATAAACACAGCACCCGCTATAAGGGATTCCTTCCGAAGCCCCGCTATAACGGACGAAAAGTCCTGATTTTTTGGCATATATGGCATTTTTTAGGAAACCAGACATTTGACAACCGAACACAACTACCATATGATACTATTTCTATCGTAAGATGTCATTTTCGGTGAAAAATAGGGTCTGACTTCTAAAACCCCCATGTCTCGTTGCGGCCGGACAGGACCTCAGGTTGATTATGGCTCCGTTCTGTCGAGCTGTCCGGCCACTCTTTTGAAGGTCACTTGGCGTCTTTCGAATTAATATCATAATATTCGTAGCAACAACTAACTACAAGAAGCGATGCGGGGAATTGGCACGGTTGTATGAGGAGGGGAGCCGGTGCACCATAACAACGTGGCGGAGAGGATTTGGTGCAAGCGAATCGCTCAATTATCCCTGTCGCCTGTGTGGAGATATCATGCCGGTATTCGAGATGTTGGTCGGCGTTTCTTGCATTTATGGGCGTAACTTAGAGGTTGAAATCGGTGCTCCATTTTAAATCCCGGTTTTCCACATGATACAACTGACCTGGACGAAAATCTCCCTCCTCAGTCGCTTCGTGCTCATCCCACTTGTTCTCCCGAACATTGTGAGACTCCGCCCTCTCCCGCGGTTGCCCTACATCCATGATAGTGCCTTTCTGTGCACCATGCCCAGATCGCGAAAGCTTATCTTACACAACGCGATAATTTAGTGCTTTGTGCAACCTACCGTAGATGGCTTGCTATCATACTGTAGGGTGGTCAAGCGTGGGCAGGCGCTGTTGCCAAATCTTTGCGGCGACTCGCTTGGGTAGCGCCTGGCTGAGGGAAACCTCCCTCCGGTCTGGACATACTTGTATAAAAGATGATTGTGAACATTAGGGGAATTCCGGGCAGGTAACGGTAGGGATCGCACTCTCTGTGAACAAAAAGTACGAGTAGTTACAGCTTGAACATGCGAACTCGTGAAATGGGGATTTCCTGGATTTATCATGAGTTTATGGTGATGATGATGTAAGCTTATTTGCAACACCAGTTTGTGCGAGACGGTGCTGTGAGTGCGGATAGGTCAAGCAGGAGTTTGTTTGGACACTTTGAATTCCTAAGGTACGAGATATATGTGTAGAGGTACTTTAATTGGAAGTGCGGGTACTGCATATCTTCGATCCGGGCGTTCCGGAGTCATCCTTCCGACACCTCCGTGATCCTCCCGACTCTCACCCGATTTCACAACCTCTACCAACTTCGTGAATTCACCGCTGCCTCCCTATGATCGCCTTTCCGGTTTGATTTATCGCGCAATTCCTACACCATGCTATTACCCCATCGGCATACTTCGGCGTATCACTATATGCACACTTTCCCTGATCCTACCATCTTCGCATGGCTCCATCGCGATGCATCTTATCACTCCCCTTTCTCAGGTGCCACGCATAGTCGGGGTTCGATATCGGGGGTGTCGGCTAGGACGTGCATTTCGCCACTATTTGAAGCAAGGGTCAGCATACCGGTACGGTAGGCGGTGGCGGGACTTTGTCTGGAGGAGGAGGAGAGACTCAACAATGAATTCTCTCGCTCAATGCATTTAATGCCTCTATCTGACCACGGCACTGCACGCCCTTCGCCCTGAAATCAAGTTCGCCCAGGGCTCGACCCGCGAAGAGCTGGATTGCGCTGATAGCCATCCCCGTTCTCCCATCCCCATACCCGCAGTATACGATTGTAGACCCCGCCCTCTTATAGGCGTTCCAGATTTGATCGAATTGTTCCTGTGTGGGTGCGGCGGACTCCAGTACCATGATATGCGAGTATGAGATATTGGCGGCGCGAAGCCTGCCCTTCTCCCGCGGCGTTATCTCGACGGAGTTCAGACTGATGATGTTGTGTATGCTATGGTCCTGAAGGAACTCGATGGAGGTCTCGTTAATACTTTGGTCGGAATCCTCGCCGTCATAGTAGGGCGCGGAAGAGCGTGCGAGGCGGTCAGGGACCACCCACTCAAACCGTCTGAACACAGATTTCCTGACCAGATGGAGGCCGAACAGGGTGCCGGCTTCCCCGACCATTAAACTTTTATCGAAGCGGCTGATGCATCCAAGCGGCTCAAGCCTCTTACCGCCGTCGCGCGGGCTCATCATGATTGAATACCCGCCTAGACCATGCCGCGCGAAGGAAAGGTGCTCCCAGGGCAAGTGGTCACGTGTCGAACATCTTGTCTCGTTTCCCTCCGCCCGGCCCAGAAAACACCCGGTGGATCTGTTCTTCATGCCATGCCAATTGTCCGAATTTATGTGGAAGACCCACATCTGGTCCCACTGACCCTCCTGATATTCCTCGAAACGAAGCCATTCCCCTTGACCCGTGAGCACTTCGTTCGTGCCGAACAGGCTGATCACATATACTCGGCCTACGATTGGTACGTCGTTGCCGCATCCGGGTGGGAACATGGGGAGGGGGTGCTGAGCGACAAGAGTCAAGAGGGGGATGTGGGAATTTTGGTGTCTAGTATGTAGGGTTGTGCTGATTGGTCGGGGCTGTGGGTTTTGGAGACCCGAGATGAGTTTGTGTGGGCAGAGGGCAACATTGAGGGTTGTTATATACCGTTCCCGGACTCACACCCGGGGGTTGCACGTGCAGCCCAGGATTAGGGTGATTCGCCGGATGGGGGTACGGTATTACAAGTGCCAGGGGAGATGTTTTCGTACAAGACAGGGATTATTCTGCGGGTTAACCTAAATTAACTGTGCGAAAACATTATCCCTGGCACATGTACGAACTTGGCGACAAAAGAAAAGGACCCCCCCCCCCCCCCATTTTACACCAAAAATGTGCATTTTTACTTCACAAAATCTGAGCTTTATCACTTGCAAAAAAAATTCAAAATTTTCCAGAGCCTTTAGAGCTATCTAGATATTATTTTTTATAAGTGACAAGCCCTCTTAGTTAATGCCCATGGAGCAATACTAGAAGGAATAGTGGTGGTCAAAAGGTACTTACAATTTTGTACTATGGGCCTCCCATACAAAAGATACATTGCAACCAGATTCAATCTCTACTCTAAGCTCTCAGCCCTTCTTGTGGAGTGAGAAAATTCTGATAAAATCTACCCAGAAAGTCTAGGTAATTGCCTACATCATGGCATTAGTTTTGTTGGTTCTATATTGGTTTTGGTTGAGTTGTGATTGCTCAAAATCGGCCATTTTTGGTGTAAAATGGGGGGGGGGGTCCGTTTCTTTTGTCGCCAAGTTCGTACTTGTACCGGTATCATACTGTAGGTAACTCGGTAAGGGCCTGTTCGGTTGCAACTCATATTTGAAATGGTATTCTTAGTGAGAGGCAGAAAATCACATTTTTTTCTGAGGAATCACAAGAAGTCAGTTTTTTGTCTGGTCAGGTGTTCGGCAAGAGCAGGTTTCTCTTTTTTTTTCTTCTTCTTCTCATTGTGGGTGTCGATGAGGGTTCCAAAAATTCTGCTCAGACCTTTATTTATTTTATTTCTTCATATGGCATTTTTGGGAAACCAGACATTTGACGACCGAACACAACTACCATATTATTATGATACTATTTCTGATAATTATGATATCATAAGATGTCATTTTCGATGGAAAATAGGGTCTGACTTCTAAAACCCCCATATCTCGTTGCGACCGAACAGGACCTCAAGTTGATTATGGCTCTGTTCTGTCGAGCTGTCCGGCCACTCTTTTGAAGGTTACTTGGCATCTTTCAAAGCGATGGGGGGAATTGGCACGATTGTATGGGAGGGGAGCCGGTACACCATAACAAGATGACAGAGAGGATTTGGTGCAAGTGAATCGCTCAACTTTCCCCTGGACGTCGTGACCCATCAGTGACGGATTTAAAGATACTGCATCGCTGGGGTGAATCCGTGTATGAAGCATTAGCCTTTTCACGGGGGAAGGAATTGAGGCCTTGCGCATCCTAACTGGGCAACACCAAACCACTCCTATTGGACTGTAACTTACTGTTCTATCCCTGTCGCGCCTGTGTGGAGATATCATGCCGGTATTCGAGATGTTGGTTTTGGCGTTTCTTGCTTTTACGGGCGTAACTTAGAGGTTGAAATCGGTGCTCCATCCTGTATCCCGGTTTTTCCATACAACTGATGTGGACAAAAACCTCCTTTCTCAGTACCTTCGTGCTCATCCCACTTGTTCTCCCGAACATTGTGAGACTCCACCCTCCCCCGCGGTTACCCTACATCCATGATAGCGCCTTTCTGTGCGCCATACCCAGATCGCGAAAGCTTATCTTACACAACGCGATAATTTAGTGCTTTGTGCAACCTACCGTAGATGGCTTGCTGTAGGGTGGTCAAGCGTGGGCAGGCGCTGTTGCCAAATCTTTGCGGCGACTAACTTGGGTAGCGCCTCGCTGAGGGCAACCTCCCTCCGGTCTGAACATACTTGTGTAATAGATGATTGTGAATATTAGGGGAATTCCGGGCAGGCAACGGTAGGGATCCCACTCTTTGTGAACAAAAAGTATGAGTAGTTACAGCTTGTGTTGGATGTATCCGAGTCTGATACTGTACGGCATGCTTCAGCGTGAAACATTAGTGCAGGCACTAAGGTTATCACAGTGTCTCATGGGAGTGTGACAAAAGGTCCTGAAACGGAGGAGGATTCATCTGTTTGGTATTGTTGGCGAGGTGAAGAGTTTTCCTTGCTAGTCTGTTTTGTGAAGAGTTTTCCCTGCTAGTTTGTTTGGAAGGATGAAGCGCGTATTGATCATGGAGGATCTAGAACTTATGGTATTGTCTTTATAAGTTCTCTTTTGTTCGCTATTATTTCCTTATGATCAATCACTCTCCTTCTATCTTTTTCTCGTTATCTATACTACTCTCTTTACGATATTATCGAATATAAATCCTCACGCTCTTTAAAAATCCTCACGCCGTATATCAAAAGAGCCATCCTCCGAGTGTTCTTCAAGTCCAAGATTGCTTCTGTGTAAAAGCTTGAACATGCGAACTCGTGAAATGGGGATTTCCTGGATTCATCATGAGTTTATGGTGATGATGATGTGAGCTTATTTGCCACACCAGTTTGTGCGAGACGATATACTGTTTACCTCGACGTGCGAATTCGCTATCGGCTAGGATAAATAACCCAACATTAAGCGTATCACCTACCGGTATCGGCTCGTGAGATAGGAGGTGCATGCTAAATCGCGTGGCCCATTACCGCCGCAACAGACTGGAATTCCACCACCATCCTTCTCTGGGCGATTGGGGTCGACGCTTCCCACACTCCGGTAGTATCTTGACCACTCCTTCATGTCCCGACCCACGCAGCACCATGGCAGTGGTGCGCGACTTTGTCCAATATAGTTGGTTCCGTACGTGCTGTGAGTTCGGATAGGTCACGCAGGAGCCTTTTTTGGACACTTCGAGTTCCTAGGGTACGAGATATATGTGTAGAGGTACTTTAATCAATGCGGGTACTGTACATCTTCAATCCGGGCGTTCCAGAGTCATCCTTCCGACACCTCCGTGCTCCTCCTCCCGACTCTCATCCGATTTCACAACCTCTACTAACTTCGTGAATTCACCGCTGCCTCTATGATCGCATTTCCGGTTTGATTATCGCGCAATTCCTACACTATGCTATTACCCCATCGGCAGACCTCGGCGTATCACTATTTGCACACTTTCCCTGATCCTAACATCTTCGCATAGCTCTATCGCGATGCATCTTATCACTCCCCTTTGTCAGGTGCCACGCATAGTCGGGGTTTGATATCGCTGGTGTCGGCTGGGTCGTCGTGCTTTTCGCCGCTATTTGAAGCAAGGGTCAGCATACCGGTAGGTTGGCGGTGGGTGGGACTTTGTCTGGAGGAGGAGAGACTCGCCCATGAATTCTCTCGCTCAATACATTTAATGCCTCTATCTGACCACGGCACTGCACGCCCTTCGCCCTGAAGTCAAGTTCGCCCAGGGCTCGACCCGCGAAGAGCTGAATTGCGCTGATAGCCATCCCCGTTCTCCCATCCCCATACCCGCAGTAGACGATCGTAGACCCCGCCTCCTTATAGGCGTTCCAGATTTGATCGAGTTGTTCTTGTGTGGGTGTGGCGCACTCCGGTACCATGATGTGCGAGTATGAGATCCTGGCGGCGCGAAGCCTGCCCTTCTCCCGCGGCGTTATCTCGACCGAGTTCAAACTGATGATGTTGTGTATGCCATGGTTGTGAAGGAACTCGATGGAGGTCTCGTTAATGCTCTGGTCGGAGTCCTCGGCGTCATAGTAGGGCGCGGAAGAGCGTGCGAGGTGGTCAGGGACCACCCACTCAAACCGTCTGAACACAGGTTTCTTGAGCAGATGGAGGCCGAACAGGGTGCCGGCTTCACCGACCGTTAAACGTTTATCCTTGCTATCGCTGCGTTGAAGCAGCCCAAGCCTGGTATCGCCGTCGTGTGGGCTCATGAGTATCGAATACCCGCCCAGGCTATGCCGCGCGAAAGAAAGCTGCTCCAAAATCAGGTGCTCACGTATCGAGCATCTTGACTTGTTTCTCTCCCCCCGGCCCAAGTAACACCCGGTGTGTCTGTTCTTCATCCCATGCCGATTTTCCGAGTTTACTTGGAAGACCCACATTTGGTCCCAGTGACCCTCCTGATATTCCTTGAGATAAAGCTCTCCCCCTTGACCCGTGAGCATATGGTTAGTGCCGAGCAGGCTGATCCAATATATTTGACCAACGACTGGCGCGTCGTTGCCGCATCCGGATGGGAACATGAGGAAGGAGTGCTGAGCGACAAGGCTCAAGAGGGGGATGTGGTGCGACCTTTTGTATCTGGTAGGATTGTGCTGATTAGTCACGGCTCTAGGATTTGGAGACCCGAGATGGGTTTGTGTGGGCCGAGGGCAGCATTGAGGGTTGTGTTGAATTTCCTAATTCGTTTCATATGTATATTCTTCTTGATAATATCGTATATTTCTCTACTTAGTATTATTTCTATTTACGAACATTACCACAGCTGGAATATGTATTACGTACATTTCATTTGATATTTCATGATACGATTAGGGGATTATGGCATGCTTTCTTATCTGGTGTTCGGGTTTGTTTCTTATAGTTTATCCGCTCACACCACTTCAGATATACGCGTGTTTTATAGGATTTCCTTGGCAGTTCTTCAGGGTCAACCATGTTCGCACTTATGTTTTTCCTACTTATGTTATGGTCAAATATGTCGATACTTATGTTTTCCCTTATATTTTCTCTTAAGTTACTTGAAGGATGCATACCTGGATAAATAGGCACTACCATCCACCTCATTTAAAGAGATTAAGGACAAGAACTACTACCAATCTACCTTCATACCAAACTCCTCCTCACTTAACATGCCTGTGGTATACTCTTTCTACTATGTTGTATTTTCGTACAAAGTTATTAAGATAGTACCGTACCCTACACATTCAAACAGGTTGTTATATACCGTTCCCG